ACAATATCCTTCACCTCTACATAAAACCATTACCAGATTGAAACAAACCTTTCTATTTTATCCATATCGAGATCATTTTTCAAATTCAAATTTGTCTAGCTAACTACTCCTTCAGTCTTCTATTCAAGGAGGTCTTTTTTTTATTCCTGAAAAACTGATCAAGTTTATGCTTTACCTTTACTTTGATGTGAATACCTTCTCTAAGATTTCTATATGTAACACAATAAAGAGATATAATGAACAGTGACAGTCTATCCTAGAAAGATTCAAAATAGACAAGAATCAATCAGCAAAATATAGTTTCTTCGAATATGATTGCTTTGTATAAAAACTAGATTGAAAACTCAGAGCTCACTCTTGCACAATCTGAAAACTAGAGGGTCATTTAGGCCTCTATATTTGCACCATTCAAGCCTTGCAGCTACTCAAAATGCATGAGCTGATACATCATTCTGACCAAATGTAAATTCAACTCTGTTTCTGTCAACATATCAAATATTTCCAGGGCTTATCTATAATGTGCTTCAGTATGTAGAACACACGTAGCTTGGAGTTATCTAGATTGTAGCATGCTCTGAAATTCACAGAGATTATATTTGCATTGTCTGTATTAAACTTTCTTTCCTAGGATGACATGAAAATCAGAAGGGGTACAGCTTCTTCCTGAAAGGTGAAAACATCTTCACCTTTCATCTTGAATTCTCAACTAAGTATGTCAATCTATTATTTCCAAGTTAGAGACAAGTAAGGTACACATGAGGCTGTTGGATATGTCAAATAATGAACAGATAAACTGAAATATTGACCTGCAGATGGCAAGTGAAAAATGCAGGTATCACAAAATATCTGGCAATTTATCCTGTGGTGAAGATGAATACCACCACCACATTCACTAGCATCCTCACAGATAAGGTCGTTTGACAAATAAAAGTTTGTTGCTTGTTTATGAGAATTCATTTTTCAAGAGACCTTCATTTTTGCACCCTGAGAAGTGAGAGTGTTCACTTGTTTACAATAAGATATATTAATCCTCGTTAATGGAGTCTTATGACGTGTGCAGTGTGGACAAGAAGGACCTTTTGTGTTTGAGAAAGACCTTCAGGTTATTGACAACAAATAATAGTTTGTATTTTAACAATATTTTCAGTCCTTAAAAATGTGTGAAAAAACAAAAGACAAATAGGTGTTCATTAAAGTCTTGTACTGTTGTATCTTGATCTTTTAAATCATATATTAAATGTTGTTAATGATGTTGTTTTGGAGAAATAGATCTATTTGTTAACTGAGCTTCAGGGGTCAGGCTGACATAAACCAACAAATAAGCTCATATGCACACAAAACCACACAGAGGGAGACCATGCACCATATAATCAATGTCTGTGTTCACGGTACAAAACAGGGGAAAAAAAACACCTTACATAAAACCAATGATTCAGTAGTCCAGACTACACAGACTACACATACTGTTCTCCATGATTAGACCTTGTACTTCAGAGTCCTACCTACAGATGGTAAATAACCCCCTTACTCTCAAATAAAAGTCAAAACTTGTATGTGCTTTGGTCACCAATCCTGCAATCACTGGATTTAATCCAAGCATTCAAAAACAGTGACCTGATTATATTTCAGACAGGTGTCACAGGACTGTATGAAACATTATCGGTTTACTGTTTTTGTTTTCAGTCTTATGGGATCATTTGATACATCTTCTCACCTGCTTTTGAGGATTCAGCATGTCACTTGAATATTTGCCATTTTTATGAAGCTCCCCCACCGAATTATTTTCCCAAAGTTAGGCCTGCATATTAAACTCACTCTGGATTCCGGATTAGCATTTCATTTGAGTGAACTTTATGTGCAAATGCCATTCGCCTTGGTTCCATAGCGGAGGTTTTCACTGATTCAAGTGAAAAATGTCAGATTCCCCCTGACTTATGTCTATGAAATACCATCTGTTCTCTGTCTACATGAAAGTCTCCAAAATCAATTCAAGGCCGGATGAAAAATAAAATTAAAGATACCGCTGCTTGGAACAGGCATGCATCATTTAATGTATTTACGCATTCACACAAGCCTCCAGTGACTTGATAAGGTTGTTATGATTAATAGAAGTGAAAATCACTTGCAATCTAACTGGCCTATTTGACTTCCCTAACTCCTTCACTTCACACATATCACATGCAGAGCACTCAGCCCTTGGTGCTTAATGGAGCCCTCATATGGGTTATTGATCGGGTGGACCACAACTAGATTAATTTATTCTTCCAATCAAGCTTTAATTAATAGCAGGACACTGGTGAGACCCCATTAAAAGTCGTGGTCATTACTCACAGCAGGAGCATAGAGGAAACCAATAATCAGACCATGGCTTATGCTCCCTTGTTCCATATTCAAGGCTTCAGTCTGTTAAACCTGAGACACCAGATGTTTGCTTATGTGTGTTAATGTGATGTGAACAAAAAAGAAGTTGTGTACGTTTTACAAAAGCAGCGAAAAATGATCGCCGGAGCAACAATTAACTGACGGCAAGAGTGTGTGTGTGTGTTTGTGGAGAGGCTGGAGATAGTTGGGGATAACAGACAGCTAACAGGCCTAAATGTGAAAGCACTGGAACATTTGCCAGACTGCATCCAACAGACCATAAATCTCTCATGTTGCTGCCCATGCTTGGAATGATTATGCTAAAAGTGGATATTGGACCTCTCCCTGAAGTTAGTGCCATTAGCAGGCAGGAAGTAAATACTTAGAGAGAAAGAGAGAGACAGAAAGAGAAGCTTTCTCTCTCTGAGCCGAGGCTTCAATTCTTTATGTGTGTGTATGGCAAGGAGGACAGAAAGAGAGGATGAGAGCAGGGAGAACTTAACAATTAGCGTTCATAATGAGATCAGGGTTATCAGACGGCTGGCTGGTCACGGATGATAAAAAGAACACTAATTCAGTTTGTCTATTCCTCTGTTCCGCTGGCCCCTCACTTCTCCGCTTGAAGATGGAGAAGGCAAAATAGGAAGGGTGGGGAAATGTCCAGATTAAGAATAACTCTTATCCGACATGTGCTAAATTATCTCCGCTGTGTAATTACATTGCTTACATCGGTCACAATAACTGCTCACAGAAGAGGGCAGAAGTCATCATAGAAATCTAATCCCCGCCTATCTGTGGCTCTTGGTCACTTCCAAAGTATTTGATTCTGTAATAAACCTATTATTGATAGCCTTTTATGTGCAAATCAATGACAAGAGCGGACTAAATTATATCAACTCAGTTTTCTTGTTTCCTGATTACTCTCAAATTCTCCTACTGCCTATAAATACCTCAAAGCCCACCCTGGATGCACCCCAGTACGAGCTAAATTAGTGTAAACAGCCCTGACTGGGCCAGAGACAAATGAGTGGTACTGCTGTGGGGGGAGGCTGAGAGATGGATGGAGACATAGACAGAGGAGGAGACATCCTCATACTCCTCTCTATAGAGCTCCTTGTGACAAATGGCCACATTCAGGCCCTCTAAGCCTGGACCAGGACTGAACACATTCATAAACACAGAAACACTAATTTGGAGCTCATTCAAACACACAGAAAAAAGGGATATGCAGTGATTTGTTGCTGAGTGAGTCTTTAATGTACCTTTTTTTAAAAACCTGAAACAGACAGTATATCAATCGGGTTTACGTCCTTTTTCCTAGAGTTTTGTTGCCACACCCAAAACACCTAATCCCTTTCTCTTGGATAGAGTCTAATCATTAAGACTGATTAGGAGACATCTCAGTGTGAAAGGACCCCAACACAACCCATCTATCACTAACATGCACACGCACACATACATGCAGAGGCCCACATACACAATTACACGTCCGCACAAACTTAAAGCCACACACAGGTTTCATCAATCACCCCCTGTGGCTGGTCTATCTGAGGCCTCTGTGATTAGTTGTCCTGCCGGGCTGAATTATGATGTTAATAAGTCACCATTAGCTCTCATGTCCACACCCAGTCCACATATGACTGAGAGCTTCAGCATCTTACACACACACACTCACACTGACTTCAGTCGATCAGCTTTGGCTTCAGTTTTGTTGAACCTTTTGTAAACCCCCGAGTGACTCGTTAAAGTCAAACTGTTTCTTATTCAAGAAAAAATATTCTGTAAATTACATAGACTGTGACAGCGGAATTAAAGTGAAACAAAAGCAGCTTTACAGTTAAACAAACCTTTGCCATTTACAATATTTTTTTCATTTTCTGCTAGACCTTTGAAAGGGAGACATCTGAGATTGACTCAGAGTTTTTGTGGCTTTATAGACTTTAGTTCATTAATCTTCTGCCAAGGTAAAAGAAAATCCTCCTCCTTTGTCCAATCTTCTTGGTTTGGATTACAGTAATATTTCTTTAAGATCAAGTGACATGGAAACCTCAACTACACATAGTGGTTCATCAAAAAGTGTATTTTTACATTGCATATCAAGATTTTACACCAGTTATCTACGTCTGCATTGCAAACAACTTGTCACATACATAGCAACAACCAATACTAGTGGCTTGCCTCAAAAATCATAGAAAGATCTACATTACTACGATTACAAGTCAAGCATAGGCAGGGCAGCCAGCACAAACACCTTTACAGAAAACACAGGTATTAAAAAGGAAGCTTAACTCACTGTCTGATGTAGCATTGGTCATCCAGGTTCCCTCTGCCTCAGCTCCAATTGGTCACCTTGAATCAAAAGTTTTTTGAGTTAAAACAAGGGGTGAAAAATGACCAAACGTATCCAAACTTAACACAGCATGTTTAAAAAGTTATATTAAAACTGATAAATATTTGGAATGACATGTCCAGCTAAAAACAGTTAGTTAGATCTAAAATGTGGCTAACTTCAATAGTGGGGGAACATAAGTTTTTAAAATCTAATGAAGTGTTTTGAGTAGATCTGCAAGGAACAGCTAAAAAGTTGAATTCTGAGATCTGTCAAAGAAGACTGTATAACAACACCCGACTTGGTCTGCGTATTTTCCGCCCATTCAATTATTCCATTTAATTATTCCATTCTAGTAAATGAAAAACGAAAAAACGAGTCAATATTTTTATTTGTTTTTCTATCTAACCAAAAAATAAAAGATTAGTGTTTGTTTTTGCATTTTCAGTTCAAAACAGAATATATAATAGAGATGGAAACGAAAACAAAATAATAAATGTACTTTTCATTTTCGGGTTATTGATGTCCCCATTTCCCATGGTGCCTTTCTACTGTTCGCACATGCGCATTGTGCAACAAAGTAGCCAACAACGTGGACCAAAAACTCCAGGCCAGGGCGGTAGAGAAAGACTAACCTGCTGTCATGGAGATGGACGTATCCTACGTATTAGTTGAAGCCTCCAGGAGGGTCACGCTGAAGGAGGAAGATATGACTGTAGGAAAAATTACAACCAGAGCTCTGTTGCATCTTTCACCATGGTAACTGTTGCCAATGTAGCCTCCATGCACGTATGTTCAAAACAGGCGCACTCCATCTTTTATTTTTTTGGTTATACAGGAAAACAAATAAACTAAGTATTGACCCGTTTTTGGTTTACTAGATTGAATGGAATAATTAAATGGACAGATAATACATGGACCTGACTTTATCGTATCAAGTTATGTTAATTAATAATTTGAAGAAGAAAAAAAGACTTTGAGTAGACTTCACAATTTGACTTATTTCAGCTTATTTTCTTTTTCTGTTTTAAAGAGTAAATTGCTAAAAAATAAAAAGCATTTAAATAAATTAAGAATAAGGAAAAGAGAAGGCATTTGTTTTCAACATTGATTTTAAAAAAGGATGAAAAAGGCGAAAACATAAGGTGGAAATGAGTTGAGTCTGCATGCCATTTAAACTGTACTTCATACAAGACAGTTTGAATGGTAAAGTAATCTGAAAAATTAAAATACTGTTTATTTTTATGCCTTAGCTTAAGAAAATGCACCTTTGCAAAACAGTTCTCCGGTAGCCCATAAAGTTTTCTTATTCACATATACTTCATATACATTAAAATCAAATGGCAAACATCTATCTATCCACCCATTCTCTTAAACTTCCTGAACCCAGGTCAGGGTGGCAGCAAGCTAAGCAAGTTGTTTAAGAAAACCCCCTCCCTGGCAAAGCTTTCCAGCTCATCCTGGAGGATCCTGAGTCATCTCATGCCAGACAGGATACATAACCCCTCCAGCACATCCTGGGTCTACCCTGAGGTCTCTTTCCAGTAAGAGCTTGGTAGACTTCCAAAGGGGGGCCCTGCAGGCTTCCTTATCAGATGCCTGAATCACCTCAATTGGCTTTTGATGCAAAAGAGTAGTGACTCTACTCTAAGCTCCCCCAGAAGTCCAATTTGGTCATGCAGGGACTAGATGGCTCAAAATAAAGCCCCTGTGACCCCATACCCCCACAGCACCCTTTATAAAATCCACAAGGGACACACAGTTGCCTTCTCCAAGTCTACATAACACATGTAGAGTGGATGAGCAAACTCTAACGCACCCTTTTGGAGTTCTGCAAAGCTAAAAAGCTGGTCCACTGTTGCACAGCCAGGACAGACTCCACATGGTTCATTCTGTGTCCAAGGTGAGATAACAATGGTCCAACAAGAAGATGGACAAGAAAATGGGAACCATCACCCTGGAATTCCACAGACACTGTCCCAGACCCTACACAACAGCCCAACCAAGGTCCAGAGTCCTCAGCATCTTAGGGTGGATCTCATGTGTACCAGGCAAGTTGAGGATCTGAGGATCTTTTTGGCTTGCTCAGAAACCTCTGCCCTATGGCTTATACACTTTCTATCGATAAATATCTCATGCACCTTGTTTCAACTACTTCATTTGCAGAAATTTTGAATTGATATTCTCCAAATTACCTTGAATTTATCTAGGGTGACCATATTCTGAATTCCCAAAAAGAGGAAGCCACTATGCAGGGTCCGAGTTGCAGAGTTGCGCATAGTTAATTTTGAGAGTTTTTCAGGTTGGGTTCAGTGTCTTTTACGCACTTCTAACTCAGTATCAAACTCAAAACTTCTATACAAAACCCCGGACATTTGAAGAATTTTATAAACTTCCCCAGACAGCCCCCCAAAAAGAGGACATGTCCGGGTAAAAGAGGACATATGGTCACCCTAATTTATCAGCAAACTGAAACAGAACTCCATCACTTCATTCACACATATCAGTAAATTCTTCTTTCTTGGTTGTTTCAAGGTGTCATTGCTATTCCAAACATGCCACCAGGTTTATCTAGTTTCCCTCAACATCCCCGCTAGTGGTTATGTTTGTTTATAAGATTGCTTGATATGTCCAAGAAGATCCTTTATCACCTATGGGATGGACTTTGATGAATACCTGATAGTATACTACTGCCTAAATCAATACTCTGTTGGTCAGACACTGTTCTAGTCAATACTAGCCATGCCTTAACTCTGACCAAGTCAATACTAGAGAGATATAAAGGGACAAAGGTGACAGGAACGGATAGATGTGACCATCGTGGACTGGAAAATATGTAGGCAAGTCCTGGTCTTAGAATTAAATAATTAATCAGAACGGGTCGATGCTGATGGGTGTTATTGTTGTTTGATAATCTGAAGCACCAGCTGGAGATGGCTCTGGAGGAAATCTGGGTAAGAGTGTGCACATAAATTTAAAAGGTGACGCTGAGGACACCTAAATGTGTGTCAGTGACATGTTCAGAATAATGTCATTCCTCGGGTTAAATCAATAAAGAATCCTCATGTGCCCCATCCTGTTTGATCAAATCCTTAATTATGTACCTGGAGGCAGATGTAATTGGTCGAAGCACATTGAGACACAGAGTTTAGGTGATTTCCTGTTCTGAAATCAGCTCAATTTTAAATCAACATAAGGACACTTGTGATGCTTTTCATGAGTGCATCTCTTTTTTACTTTAAATTACATATTTTTTAAGTTGTTTATTCTTTAAAAAAAAAAATTAACATGCGGCGTCTTTTAAGACTGTCTCTAATTTTGTCCTCGGAGCCTCTATCTTCTCTTCACGATGAGTACGAGGAGGTTTTCTGAGCAGATTGCCCGATAATAGACACACCTTCAGACACTACTTGAATTGATTGCAACATATTGCTTTGTAAGTGAAGATTCCTATAATCTCTTTTCCTTTCGTATACCCAAGGGTCATTACCTACCAGAGTAATGCATGAGAAATATTACTGACAATATGTCCTGGTGGTGGTTGAAGGACACATATTCCAGGCAGAAATTTAGTGAGGCATCTGCTCTTGAGTTGCACCATAATGGCTGGCTTGTGAAAAGTCTATCCTAAAATTTGGCTCTATGTATGTAACAGCAGACAATGAGCTGTCTGCCATCTGGGAACCATCACAACTCTGCTCTCCAATGCTTGCACACACTCGTGCATTGGAAATGATCTGAAGAGGTTCTTCAAATGCAACATACTGTGGGAGGGATGTGTTTTGGACGGATCTATTCTCTTTCGTGCTCATATTTGGCACCAAAAGGAAGAAACAGCATTCATTTTTCCCTCTTGTCAGGCAGCATGCAACATTAAATTCCAGCGTAGTTTTTTCTCATCTGACAACAGACAAGCCTGTTCTTTATTCTGTCCCTCTGTCTACATGCTCTCTCTCATGAGGGGAAGTTTCAACTCAACAGAGCATGGATGTGTTTGAGTTTGAGCAAGGTGCTGAGATTTCACCGATTCTGTGAAGCCTGGGCGAAATGGGATTGTTGCTGTAGAGTAAGCTGGGATCACATTATTATGCTTTGATATAGTCTTGGGAGCTTCAGCTGGGGAAAAAAAGCCATGTGTGCACAGATAATGTGCGCAAACATAAAACTGAATATCTCTGTGTGGATTGTGCGGCTTCAGTTCCTGTCTGGTACACAGAAATTAACTGAGGTTAATGCTCGCACCTTGGCTTAGAAAGAAAATAGAGAGTACAGTAAGTGTGTGTGTGTGTGTGTGTGTGTGTGTGTGTGTGTATGTGGACAGCACATCGGGGTTGACCATTTTCTCCTCTTCTGTAACTTCATTACAGAAATATAAAAAGGAAGGCCATTAGGGCAAACGCATTCAGCAGCCTCTTATTGAGAGATGCTTTTAGAACAATCTAATTCTCCACAAATTGTATGGTACTCCAGCTCTCCACACACACACATATCTGTTCCTCCAAATATCACAGTGAGCTCAGTGAGAGCTGCAGGAAGAGGAGATGGGTGGCACTCTGCTTCCCCGGTGATAAAGCTGCACCTCAAAACAGGCTGTCTGCTCGCCCTGCTTTCTTGTTTTGAAAGAGAGAGAATAGGGAAGAAGGGAAGACTAACAGAGATTGCAAAATCAGACAAATCTGAACTTCATTCTCATATCTCCTCCCTCCCTCTCGCTCCTCTCCATGTTGTACTCCTCCATCCCTCTCCTCCTTACCTCCCCTGACTGAGTTATTAGAGATGAGAGGAAGTCATTCTCGCCATGTGGTTATTAGTATTGATCTGAGCGCCGTTCAACAGCCGTTTCCTGCTGATTTCCTCTCATTTGCCCCCCCTTCCTTTCCTTCTTTCTATCCTATAATGGTGCCCTGACCCCTCCCCCACTCCAACCTATCCATCTTTGGCTCTCCAGCTTCTCCACAGTGAAGTTTTTAACGTAGTGCTTTGTCCACGGAGTCTGACTGATTTACTGAATATTGTGGCCTTAATGCTGCTACACATAAGCACACCAGCTGACCACAGAAACTATAAATTCACATTCAAGCCCGGGACAGAGTATTTTATTGAGCAATAACGACCGCACACACACACATCCACTCTATTCCTGCTGTTAGCCCTGAGAGCAGTCATGCTCACATACACACACACACACATGCACACACGTCTATTACTGAAACAATCACTGTTTACTACAGGGACCTCTGACTCTCCTTACTTGGAGGCTTGTAATACTTTGTGTGGTTTTCTGCTTTGTTTTTTTTCTTTCTTTTTGGACTCGAAGCGAACTAAAAGACATTGTATTGGCACGAAAAAGCAGTACATCATGTAATTGGCTTCTAATTTAGTGCAATAAGAAGATGTCAGCTTTAATCAGACCTTCTGTCTCTGCAAGTGAAAAACAACTGTTCATTTGAATACACACATGTACAAAAGCACACATATGCTGTATACACACTGCAACTCAAATGACAGCACTGGTGCAAGACTCAGTGATCAGTGTCTCTATTATTAATGGAGCATTTAAATAACACAGGTTGAAGCATGTGTATTATTCATAGTACATTTCCTGTCAATATCACTTTCAAGGGATACATATGTATGTAATGAATCTTCAAAAGTTATTACTGTGTTAAAAAGACTTAAAATAATGATATATATTTTAAAATATATAGTAAAATGCCATTCAAAATAAGGTGAATTTTAATTACATTTAGTTACAGTAAAAGTTTGTGTAGGTAAATGTTTAGTTCCATCTGAGATGTGTTGCTTGACGCCATTTTTTACACAAGAACCAACATATCTGTTTCTCTCCTTCTTATTTCTCCCCTTATAGGAAATAAATATTATTTAAAATAAACAAGAATGTTGATTAACAGATCCTTTTAAAGCTCCTGTGAGGAACTTTTAGTTTGTATTAATCCCCATGGAAAAATTAGTCTTTGCTTATCATGTCCTACGCACTCTCAAGTAGTGTCAGATAATGCTAATTTTTAACAGTCAAATTGATCAAGTATTTTAAATATTTTTGTGGTAAATTAAAAAAAAGTCAGTTTCTTCATCTGCTTGGCTGACACCTAATCTCCTTTTTTTGCATCTGGGAAAACACTATTTATTTGTATTAGTCAGCTAACACTATTTCAGATACATTCTAGTCGTAATTTAATTGGATGTTGCTGTCTTTTTCAGAGGAATGTGCATTCGTTAACTTTTTCTCATTGAGAGAAAATGCGCACACTGTAAATGCTCCTCCGAGTGGAACTTTAATTGGTTTGAAGTGATGATTATTTACTGTACTACTCAGTTTATTTATTATGAAAGCCAGCAACAACATGTCTGTCCCTTTCGTTCCTGTTTCTCTTCTTACTGTTGTGCAGGAGTGTGACACACTTAGGAAAACACAAGTCTGAGCTATGTCAAAACAACATGCACAGATTAAGAATAGCTAAACAGCCACTTCAGATGATAGTGCTCCTTGTGCGTGTTTTTGTAGCATGTGTGTTTAACAGCTTGGCTCTTTTCACCAGTAAACAGCTGACACCAGCCTCCAGGTGTTTAACACTGGATAGGAGCCATTAAACACTATCAATCCCTATCTCAATACACCAGTGTTCAATTGTAACTCTAACCCCAACCTTTCTCTGTAACCGTAATCCTGCCACCAATCCAATAGGTCGTTTGCTTTAGCATGCTTGGTGCTATTGGCATGTCCTTCCTCTGTGACCATGTCTATTAGTCTTGGCTAATAGAGCAGCCGTGTGTAATGAAGACACACTACATGGTTCCTAATGGCGTGAGGAGGAACATAAACAAGGTCAGGAATAAAAAATGAAGCCTCAATGAGAAGAAAACAACACACTACCGTCTACAAAAGCGGTCAAATAATAACTTTGCTGAGAGCAGCTGCTGCAGACAAAGCTATTCGTAAAAAGCTTGTTCTAGAGGGAAATCATTTTGCTAGGCATGTTATCTACAGTTTGAACCTGGCCTGTCCTCTGTTTTGAAGAGGCTGAGGATGCAGTGAGGTTACCTCCCAAGTCGTGTGCTACTCGGTGACCACAGTTTTAAAAAAACAACTTATAAATAGAGGCTGGTTTCTGAGGGACAGCAGCAAGGACAGTCATTTAGAGAGAGCTCACCGAAACAGTCACACAAATAGGCAGGGACTGTCACAGAGGAAAAATAGAGAAAAAGGGTGACAATTTTGTGATTTGAAACTCATTCAAGCTGGTTACTAAGGCGATATTTATGTTAGAGTAAAGATATTGTGATCTAAGGGAACAGCAAAAGAGATTTGTTTAAAATGATCACGAGGTTATCGTTTTGAAGGTTTTTCTCAACATATTCAGACAGGAGAAATCCCTGAGCTGAGACTGCAGGTGAATAGAGTAAATGTCCACCAGGTTTATCTCACTGAACAAGGAGCTGACAGCAGAAAAAAAACAGAAGAGTTTAGAGTTTGGCTGCATGGACATGACCGGCTCCTGGGGGGTCACTGCAGATTACAAAGCATTTCACTGAAAGGCGTGAACGCGCTCAGCTGATTGAGCTGGAAAAGGAAGAAAGAGAGATAATTGAACTTAATGTGTGGAGTAAGCAGGAAGAGAGTCTTACATATTGAACTCTTGCTGAGCTTCATTGGTGTGTGTGATAATATGGAATGACCAGGCATTGAAGTTGGAGATGGAGGGTGCCTGGAGGATCAAAACGGTGCAAAACCAATTTCCTCCCTTACTTTTGTGAAAGTATGAAAGTATAACCAGCAAACCTTGACTCAAGACATCAGTAGAAAAAGTACTGATTCAAAAACAGGTCTCTGTCAGTGTTTTACCATAATAAACTGAATGTATGCATAAACATGAACACTGTTTCGTTTCTGGGAAATTTCTGCATTTCTGAAAAGTTTAGTTTTAAAAAATATTGGACAAACTTGAGGGAGAGGGCTAATGTGGGAAAGAGTGGGGGAAGGAGTAAACACCAAATACTGAAAGGGACAACCATAGACCTGCTTATCTATAGGCGCCGCAGTCAACGAGTAACTTATTGCCCCAGGCCATAAGGGGGCCCTGACAGCAGACAAATCTAGAACCACAGTAGGAGCTCAAAAGTGCAAACTGAAGCGGACTGTTGGAGCCATTTTCTTGTTTTCTTTTGTTGTCACTGTAGGGCACTGTAGACAGCCCAAGAGAGCATTTAGGGGCAACACTGCTTGGAACAAGTGTTGCACACGCAATCAGGTACATGGTTTTGGCCGGAGCTACAGGACTTATTGGATGATGTTGTTCTGTGAATTCAGTCATCTTTTGTTCGTCATTTAAATAAGCCAATTGTCATATCCAACTTTCAGTTTTGGACTGTTTTGATGTTTATTTTGGATACAAAGAGGACAAATCCACACCAGAGGAGAAGAGCCTGACCAAACAAAAGGGCATCAACAATGACGGTAGGAAACTTAGCAAAGGGGGCCCCAGCTGAAAGCACTCGCTCTCATTGTGCTGGGAAGTGTCACACGCAAATCCCTTTTATTCAAAAGCTTCTCAATGAAATTCACTGGGCAAAAATTAAAAAGTAATTTTCCATCTGGGAATGAGAAAATAAGAAGGAAAGAAGAAGAAGAAGAGGGAATAAAGACAGTGAGACAGAGGTAAGAGTAGTAAATAATGATGATTAACTGGGATAATAATGACTGCATGCTGGGTCCAGTCAGGAGGGCAGACTCTTTTATTAGCACATCTTTTAATTTGAGTGTTTCCTTGACAGAAAGACATGTATGAAACATTCATTCCTGAATCACACAAAGTAGATGCATACAGGTTTTTTGTCATGGCTAATTTGCAACCCCTGTCCCTGTTTAGGCTTCCAACATTAAAACAAAAACAACCGAATATTGAGCTTAAACTACAGCCAATAAAACATAGAATAAGATTAGTGTTTGCTATGAAATGTAGGACTTTAACAAAAGGTGGAGACAAGCATGAATAGAGACCAAGAAAACAGCAAAATCATGATCATGTTTAAGAATTTGTATGTGAAACTTAAAAGCCAGTGTTAACAGACTCACTTCAGTTTCAGCCATTGCTTGATATGTGTACTAAAATCCTTCAGTTCTGACAATTCTTTCAGATGGTAATGGTTTCCATAGTTTTATACCTCATGCTGCGAAGGATGATTGACTGAGTGTTGCTCTACATTTTGCTGCCAAACAGCTTCCACTTAGTGTACGTCCAGATCTGATTCAACAACTTTGTTTGTTTACCAGTGACGAAACGTTTGTGGTTTTGTGAGGGAAAACTTAACCAAACTGTTCAACTCAGTAAGAAGTTCCTCTGTAGAGTGAGGCAGCCTGATAAATTCCTGATCCATTATTTTTGTTGCTTATATAATGACCTGATGGGTTCATATCATATCAAAAGTTTGTCTGGACAGTTTTGCACAATCTCTTAACATTTCCATCAAATTTAAAAGTGGGATCTAAAGTAACATCCAAATTTTCAATTCGTTTACCTTACCCATCCGATTCTCAACAAAATTTACTCTAAACTCTTCAGTGACTTTTCTTTTTATTAGAAAGCACATTATTATTATTATTACTGTTTAGATGATTACGCTGGAACCATCTGACGCACCAGACATGTCACTTGAGAGTATCCCTGCTGCCATCTGAGGGGTTTTTGCAGAATGATTGTATAGTCTACATACATCAAGCATTGAAATCTTTTGTGGCTGTCAGGTTAATCTTTTATCTATCAAGTAAAAATTAAAAGGCCTAAAACTGAACCATGTTGAATTCCTAATTTGCAAGTCTGGACAGTCTGATTGGGAAGAATTTATTCTAAACTACAACTCTTTCTGTGTTCAAGAAATAATCTAAACCAAGTTACTACACCAGTTGACATGTTATGTAGTATAACTTCTGATGGCATTTGTTTTTTGACATGAACCATTACTTAGCTAGCAGAGCAGCCTTCTGACTGTGACTGTCACTTCTGTTGAATCAAATGGTTTCATTAAAGTTACTAATAGGCATTTTGGAAGTAGAAGACTTTTCTTTATCAACAGTAAAACACCTAATATTTCTGTAAATTCTAAGAAGATCTGACTTGAAAGAAGAACTTAATCTAAAAAAAACACATTTGGTGATTGATGGTTTTTGCTGGACTGGGTGGAAGGTGAAAAAAAAATTACTGGGCAATCATCATGGCATGAAAGAGCCTTTTTCCTAAAATTGACCATAATAACAACCTCATCAGAGCACATTTTTGGGTTACCATGACTAAATAAGTGTTGAAGGAAAGGAGCAGTATGCACACTGAAATATGTCCATCAAAATTCAGTTCCTAAAAGTGATTTTACTTTTTCCAACTCAAAATAAGAAAACAGTTTCCAGGCCTGTAATGCGAAGCTCTGTTGCATCTGGGAAATCATTTAGCTGTATTACATTACATTACATTATGCCTGTATATTTTAAACTTTGCCTATAGCAGTCTATTGAATTGTGTTTTTTCTGAATACACAAACAGCAATAATGTAGACTGTACTGATGCTTTCAGAAACAGCTACAAACAAATAAAGCCAAGTTACAAAGTACAAAAACACACACAAACATGCAGTGTGTTTGCAACCCATCAGTCTTAGGCACCCAATTATCTACATCTAACTGTCAGCTCTTTTTAGCGGATGTGAACTGTGACACAGAATCTGAAAATTTCTGCTGTAATCTTTGGCTGTGTGATAAAGGAGTCGTTACGCTCTGTGGCAGCCGCACTCTAGATTGATGACAAACCTGAATAACAGCCTCTTGTGTTCATGCCATCCAACCAGAGCAAAATGCTGCGTTACCTATGTGCCTCTCATTTGTACTTGTTCAACCCCTCTCCCTGCCTCTGTCTTACTCCCTCTCTGTGAACATGAATGATATTCAGTTGCACGTTAATCCACCCTGGATATTAATTACAGTCTCCATTAGCATTTAATAAATACTTCCCAGGTGGGCTTGCTGCTGAGTGAACTGAGAGCCTTATCAAATATTAGGCCTTTAATTGGCCTTTCACTCCGATGAATGGGTTTTTAATTAGCGTGCAGTTATCATCCCCACACCGACCACAGGGCCCAGCTGATCAGCACACGCAGATGTGCCAGTTCTGCTGACTGAGGGCATCTTAATGACCTGAGGTAGGCCACTCGTTGCATAATCCTCCATTCCCTTGGCCAAAGGGGGAACAGTGCAATCTGTGAGTAGCAGGCCACAGCCAGACACTAAGTGATTGTCTGGTTATAGCATGGAGATCCATGGGGATGCAGTTTCTAAGTTAAGTAATGTGTATGGATGTGGTCGAGGAGGAAAACGTAGAGTAGAGAGTATGAAAACATAGACCAATTCACTGTTACTTTTGCAGACATCATTTGTTGACAATCATATAAGTCACATATTTACTTACAACCTTTTCATTGTTCACTTATTCAATGACTGCGATGTTTAAAGGGCCGAAAGAGTACAAAAATGATGTATTCAATGATGTATTCACATTTTAAGTATAAGTTAAAATATTAGCCTATTGACCTTCTCATGTAAATATAAAAAGTACTTTACTTGAAATGCACTATCATCCAATGGCAGTGGGGGAGTAAAATTTGATCCCCTTGAATTATGCAGAAGCGTATTTTCTCAAATTGACACAATAAAACCAACTACTTTGTGACTGTGATATTGACTTTGGCCCAGTCTTGGGTGAAGTTATTGTATTTTTCCATCATCTTTCTCCAGTATTGCACTTTGTAGACACACTCAAGTCATGGCTGGCTGAGCAAAGAGAAATTTTAGTATGAGGCTAATGTAAAGACTTCAGTGATTGCATTGAGTAAAAAAGACCTTCTTGAAACGAGAAGTAATACTTATTTCAAGAAAATTATCAAAATCTTCACTCAAAATATCTTGAAGTATGACTTTAATTTGCCTGATATGAGATTTTTTTCTAGAAACAAGGTGAAGGCATTTGGAAAGTCTGAATATTTTTGCAGTGTAGACGTTATCCGTTATGGAGCTGATACAAGTCTTGCATGTTTTTTGATTTGGTGTGAAATATGGCGAAGTACAAAGCTTACAACAGAAAACACTAAAGTAAAAGTCAAAGTTCTGATTTTAAAAGTTATTAATAAAACTGCAATCACACAAAAAAGCTACTTAGATACAGTAACTTGAGTAATTATGATTGGCTGCTTTCTACCTCTGAAAATCAAGAAAACAGTAAATCCAGAGAAGAAGAGAAGAGACACTTTGGGTTTGAAAAAACATGATGCCCAACCAAAGCAACCTTCCTATAGAATTTTCAGTCACCCTCGAAATCAATCAATCAATCCACCTTTTATCTATTTTTACATAATGTGATGCTGCTATGAAAAATGAATCATCACTATATCCAGGTTACCACCAAATATGATACACACACATACAGATACCAGTCAGAAAAGCACACATTCACACCAGCATGAAGACACAGCAGGGGACAGTAATGACTGTCACGAACACTTAAAATTGCAGAGGCATCAAAACCATCTTAAAGCTTTTGAAGCACTCTCTAACACTTTCACAAACACCCCTAAAACACACACACACACACACACACACACACACACACACACACACACACACACACACACACACACACATCAGAAGTCTCTGTTCAATCTTGGCATGGTCCTTAATATTATCTGTGTTGTCTTTTTTGTGCACAGGCGTTTTTTATGGCTCCAACATGAATTACACAAATAATAATTATTTCATTTATGCCCCATTTTTATTAACTATCAAATAAGTAGAGGGAGATGGGCTTTGTGTGCAGTGTGCATCTATTTATCCGACTTCAAAAATGTATTTATTTTTGTTCTCTATACGGTTTTGAAGGATTAACTGAAGAAAAATGAAGAGTACACATGCAAGTTCAGCTACAAGCACACTCATGGTGTCAGAATATTTTCCATCTGGTTCTCACTTTTAATGCATCCAGGAATAATAAGTAGATAATACAACTTACAGCACTTGAGTACCTGCTCATATTTTAAGAGCTGTTGAGCTGAATGGGGAGCAGGGAACAGTGCACTCTCAAAATTGGATGAATGTGTGCAGGAGAGTAACTGCAGACAGATCAGCAGCAAATAGCTCTGCGCTTCGAGAGCTTCTGCAGCATCTGTAGCATCCAACCACCAATTATGGGCATTCAGGACTACAAACTCTTGTGGTATTGTGACAGGGCATCAGATTAAAACTGCACTCTTACATGCATTTCAGCCAAGCAAATTAAGCAGCATGGCTGTATAGGGAAAGTGGGTGAGCACTAGAGTTGTTGGAGACCAAAGTAAAGCTGAATATTTTTCCCCTAGAAGTGTAAACCAGTCCAGACTTATTTCCTGTAAATCCACCAGGACGCCAAAATGCATTAGCAGGTGTTAGCTGGTGTCCTGGCAGTGTCACGGAGGGTAACAGCAACCCTCTCTCGGATCAATATGTAAGGTGTGATGGCCTTAAAAAAACATTACACATTCACTCCAGCCCCTACACAGAGGTCACCGAGTTTAGGACAGTCGAGAAAAATCCCCCAAAGCCAGCAGAATCCGGGTCCGTTTGGCCGCTGGCTTTCTTTTGTGGAGCTCAGGAAACCTGGCTCACATTTTTCTTGCCAGAGGGATTCTGTGTTGAGTCAAGCCCAAAAACAGAAATGTTGTTGGGTTAAGGGAGGTCTGAGCTTAATGGATGAAATTTTACAGAGGGGTGCGCTTAAATGAAGAGCCTGGGGAGGAGGCCATGGAAAGCATTTCCATGATAAGAGCTCCCTCTTGAGGCCAGTTTATGCTGCAGCAGAAATACCCAGAGCAATTCAACATCTGCCCTTCCTCTAAACTTCTGTGATGATGCAGATTTGCAGGGTCCTGGGATTTAGCTTTTCTCTGGGATTCAAGGACTTCAGCTGCAATGATCTCACAGTCCTCTGTTTAGCTCAAGCAGACCTGAATACTCACTCCATCTCTTTTCCTCCAGCATGTTCTTGCTGCCTTTAAATGCATCCGCCCTGTCAGTCAGACTCGCTGTGTTTTCCATTCATTAGACTTAAGGGGAAAAAATGTCTTTGTGTTTCCCCACTCTTCAATATCCTCCCTTAAGTATGAGGCACACACATACACACACACAGGCACATGCGCTTGAATTATTTACACTTCTATCAGCCTTAATGGACCCGTCATTTACATTACAGCTCAACCTGTAAGTCCTCCACAAACTGTGCTCCTCCCATAATGAACAACAGCTTCATTTATTATTCATCTGTGAGAATGTATACAACATGCTGAATGATAATGGATGGTCATTACACTATTATGAAGATAAATCGCCATATGTAAGAAATACTCATTTTATAAGTTATTATTGGGAAAATGGAGTAAAATTTCCTCACTACAATAAGTCTCACTGAAATCTTGTTTTTTACCTTTTTTTTCCATCATAGATCTACATTCATCTTCTCTTTAAAGCAGGGTAATCTTCAGCCTGTAGTATGTTTGTGGTACTGTGTCAACTCTCTTGTGAACTGCCACCTCCTTTTGCCCCCTCGTCTCACTGTCTTCCTGGTGTCATCTCTGCATTCCTCCCATCCTCTCCTCTGCTGCCCTCCCTCCCTGCTCTCTCCTCCCTCTCTCTGGTCTTTCATTTATAATGCATGTTAAACAAACAGACATGTCAGAGTCACTGCAAATGCAAGGCTGACCCTCTCGGTACTGCTCGGTCCCTCAGCAGAGGAGGGGGTCATGTCTCTGAGGTCTCCCTGTGTGAAGGCCAGGCCAGGTTGAAATGCAGCAAATTCAATCTGTACATTCTGGTAGAGGAAGTCATTGCTGAACTTGTACCAGTGTCTATTTTTATATCTTTGAGATGCAGGCATTGACTGTGTATGAAGATGGACGATGTATCACCACTGCTTCCCACTGAAAAAACAAACTGCAAAAATCAAAGTCTAAGTTTTACCTCTGAGGGCGCTGACACATTGTGCATTTGGAGCCAGAAAGGGATCTGCTACCCAACACTTATACTTAAAGAAAAATTATGAAGAGTCCTCAGGTGAGCACAGTCTGCAGCATAACAGTCAGTGCATTTACATGTACTGTTAAGAGGAGCTATTGCCAAAGACATATAGTTAACTGTGCGTGTGAACATACATTTTAGTCTATTTTTAGTCGGACTAAAGTGATAAATCAATTTTTTCAACAACATATTAACATACTGAGTTTCTTGTCTCACTTTCAAGATGACAATCATGGTTAAACAAAGTTCTATGAATAAGTTTCTTCACTCTCTTCCTTCTCTGCTCTGCTTTTCCAGTGCACACAGTGTTATTGGAGCCCTATTTTTTCACAGAGTTGTCGTTCATAGATAGACTCACCTAACTTACTAAAACTAAAAACTAAAGTTCTCTCTCTGGTGATGTTTTGATAGAGTTAGTAAAAGTTAGTAATAACAGAGTTAGAGAAAAATATTTTGTATTTTATATTTTAACTCTATCCTCTCTGTTTACATGGAGGCGACTTATGTTTTTATTGGAGCCAGTCAGCTAGGAGGATCTGTAAACGAGGGTGACCAAAAAGGGTCCTCTTTTTGGGGGGCTGTCCTGCCTTGTCCAGCCTTATCCGGGGGAGTTGATAAAATCCTTCAACTGTCTGGGGTTGTGTATGGAAGTTTTGAGTTTGCGTGGCATGGAATTACTGACTCAGAAGTACGTAAAAAACACTCGACCTGACCCGAAAAACTTTCAAAATTTACTACACCCGACTCTGTGACTCCGCCCCCGTGTAGTCGTATATCCTCTTTTTGAGGATTCAGACTACGGTCACCCTATGTAAACTGCTTGACCTTCCTTTCAAAGAGCCGTTATGTTGTCCATCTTTTTATGCAGTGTGCTGGTCAGCCTTATTCATCAATAACCTTATACTAGTTCTGAGAGATAAGCGTTTTTGTAGCTTTATTGCAGCAGTGCAAAGTCTTGCATACATCCAAGTGAAACTGTGACAGTGGTTTTCACCATTGCTTGTAAATAAAGTTTTGCTGACACCCATGTTTGTGTCTTGGTATTAATAAAAGCTTCTCTCTTGTGCATTGTAAAAATAAGTGTGGAGTGATGTCTGATCCAAACACGATCCATTTTGTTTGTCAGAGCACTAAAGACACCGAAAACAATTTCCCTCGTCAGTTACTTTACATGTAAATCTAATTTATCTGTCGAGGCATGCAGGGCATAAGCTGCTGCCCTTGCTCACTCTTCAGTTGTATGTGTGCATATATAAATACACACTCACAGAGAGAGAGAGACACACACACACTTGCATACAAAATCCTAATTTTCCAGGTGCAGAGGTCTGGAGAATGAAGCCAGGGCCACTCACAAGGAAACTGCATTATTCTCCGTCAGCTCTGTGGAGTATCCAAGCTATTATACCATCCGGCACTAGCACGCACATACAGATGAAGTTTACCACTTGACAGAGAGTGCGATGGGGCCTGAAAAGCACAAAAGTATGAGTGGGATTGTGCTCATTCAGCAGCAAAGTAAGTTCATTTTCATATTGCATACATAATATGCTCCACTTGTGTTGCAGTGATATAATGCAAAATGATCAAGTGCACATTTCACAGGCACATTATACAGCATTTGGGGTTGAGAGCTTCCAGAGTGTCAGCATGCGTTTATTTACTCAGATAAGTGGATCACTGCGTTCCAGTCTTGTGCAAGTCTTTACTCTGTAACAACGTCTTGAGATCTACTTTGAGTATAATGCAAATTTATAGCATAATAAAGTCTTTAGAAGAACATAAAAGTAGATGGGTTGTACGTTTCTTTTCTCTTAACTAGGTGATAAGAATAAATAATCAGAATAAATGATGCTTTTCTATACTCTTTCCACCCACTGTAGGCAGGGGAAACTGCATTTGTTCAGACAGCTAATACACACAGTGACTCAGAGTGTATACAGTGTGTGGATGAAATGGGCTCTAGAGGCTTTTCCTCTCACACAAAGCAAATATCTGTCCAAGAATAAGGTATTGATTTGTCATTTCCAGAGTGGAGCTGAGTAAACAAGCTAAGCAGACGTGTGACCGCAGCTCCCTGACAATTGTGCTCTGGTAGCACTCAGAGGCCTTTTCCTCTGATGATACAATGATACACTGACCTAACATGCACTGTATATCCTACATCATCTGTGTTGCAATCTCATTAACACGCATACACACGCAAAAACACAATGACACACATATCCTCTGCTTGGTATTCATGAAATGAATCTTTTCTTCCCTGATGGCACAATCAAATATTTATCTCCGTGTTTACAGCATTCTGCTCCAGCAGCTTGAAGAACAACATCTCTCTGAGTGAAAATGAATGTTTGAGCTTCTTGTTTCGAGGAGGTACGGAGCTCAGACAGAGACACCATTTAGTTAAGAGTTTAACTATTGAATTTACAGCAACAGCAATGACAACAGCAAGTGTTTGTTTTCGTCTTACATGAGTTGATTTCAGTAAAACAGCATGATACGTTATTTTTGTCTCTTCTATTCTCCTGACTAGAAAGATATAGATAGATAGAGATCTATGATAGATAGATAGAGAGAGAGAGAGAGATCTATGATAGATAGATAGAGAGAGAGAGAGAGATCTAGGATAGATAGATAGATAGATAGATAGATAGATAGATAGATAGATAGATAGATAGATAGATAGATAGATAGATCTACAAAAGATAGAGCGAGAGAGAGAGAGCTCTAAGATAGATAGATAGATAGATAGATAGACAGATACGATATATAGATAGAGAGATCTACAATAGATAGATAGATAGATAGATAGATAGATAGATAGATAGATAGATAGAGAGAGATCTACAATAGATAGATAGATAGATAGATAGATAGATATCTACGATATATATATAGATAGATAGATAGGTCTATGATGTATAATTAGAGAGAGAGAGAACTACAATAGAGAGGGAGAGAGAGATCTACAATAGATAGATAGATAGAGAGTGAGAGAGAGAGAGAGAGAGAGAGAGGTCTACGATAGATAGATAGATAGATAGATAGATAGATAGATAGATAGATAGATAGATAGATAGATAGATAGATAGATAGATAGATAGATAGATAGATAGATGAGTTTGATCATACACCCCTAAAAATAATGTTATCCTAATTATGTCACTTATGTAACTATTGTGGCAGTGCTGTACTCATTTACCAATCAGGCTCTCAGCTAACACACATGGCAGCAAACACCCTAAGCTGGCAAACACCGTAAAACTAGTAAATGAACAAAAAAAACAACAACTTCCCATAGGGGCCTATTGGGAATTGTACTGTTACATGGTTTCATTTCCTATATATTTTTTATGTATAAGCACTTTATAAGCCTTTTTTGAAAAGTAAATACATTCTATTATTATTTTATGAAAAAAGCAATTATTATTTCATTATTTTATTTTATTGTTTTCCCTTATTCCTTTACCTATTTGTTTGTATCATGTACCTCTAGGCTTTCATTTCATTTTGTTTCCTTTCCTAAAGTATTACCTCAAAACAACCCACTACGACACAGTGAAGTCCTATCATTACTTCTTTGTTGTTTTTGTTTAATATATATAATATCATTTATTACGTATTTACTCCTGTACTGTCTGCAATGTTGTTTGATTCCACCAGATGTCCCAAATCCTCTCGACTGTGTCAGCTTTCTGCAGTTAGGTCTTCCACCCGCTGGATGGAGGCAGATAGAAATAAAACATCGATGGTAACAAGTCTTTTCAGACCATCACGCTTCTACAGATATTCCCGCTCCGACTGAAAAACCTCCAAGAGAAATCACCGGGAGTGAAGTGGAGGAGCTTCAGAAAATACAAACACAGGAAATGGTGTTTCCAAGTTTGCAGTAAGTTATTTTTTTATGAAGCCGTGTCTGCCGAGTTTCTGCCGTAACAATAAATGGTGAGACCCATGTGGTTTTACATTTGTTCGGTCTTCACACAAACTTCTGTGTGATGTGGGAGGACAGGAAAAGAGCGTCACCTGGAGCTGACCGGCTATCACAGACTCTCAACTAACGTGCAGGCTGACTGCAGGTAAACAGAAGGAAACCAGGAAGTCCAAACAAGTTCGTATCTACACTGTTACTATAAGCTACTACATTGTTTTTATAAACTATTTCTACACTAAACCTCCGCTGCATAAAGGCAAACTGTGTTTATGTAGTAAGGCTGCAAAAAAATACACTTTTTCATCAAACTTTATAATATCAAAAAAACAACAGACCTATAGCCTACTACAGCTGAAGAATAAGGATAAATATTGTATATTCCTGGATGGTTTAATAATAGTGGATATTTACATATTCCCAGAGAGATGTATTGCCTCCTTGGAAGTCTTGCATCAGATAAACATAAGAATGTGTTAAATGTCAAAAAATAAATAGACATATGTCTTCAAAAGTTACACCCTGGCTTAAAAGTGTGAAGCAAAAATGAAAAATTACAGACCTTTGTAGATATATTTTTAAAAGACTCATTTCTTGTGTTAAGACTTAATCATCTCTTCATTTCCTCAGGAGCTGACTGCAGTGACTTCCAGTCATGTCTGAGGAGCAAGCAGCAGAGATCCAGCTGCTCAGACGCCACAAGGCTAAGCTTATAGATATTCTAAGTGCAGATGCTGACTTTGTTCTGCAGCATGCAGACTCCCGCTGTCTGCTGTCTCCTCGCGACTACCAACAGGTAAAAGCCTGTCGTGTTCCTAGTGAGAAGGTGACAGAACTGCTGGATCATATCATCCAGAGAGGACCTGACTCTGTGCGGGGCCTGCTGGAACTACTTAAAGAACAGGCCTTGCAGAAAACCTTCCCAATGCTAAGCTTTGCAAAGGATCTTGTTGTCAACACACTGTCTTCAGGTAGGACAAGTCTGCTCAGTCCTTTAATTATCTAAACTTAAACATCATTTAAACAATGTAAGGTAATGTAAATGTTTCTCCATTTATAAGAACAAGAAAAGACACCAAGAAAAAGACAAGCTCCTGATTCAGAAGAGAGTGTTCCATCCAAACAGATCAACATCAGCAGTAAGTCCTGATGCACTAAAAGCTGTTTCCCTTAAACACAATAAAAGCATCACTTAGTTTACATTTCTTTGCTTTGTTACACAGACTCTCGCTTAGTAAAGGAGAAGCAGCTCATTATGGTGGCTCGTACCATTGGCAAATCATGGAGGGAGATTGGCAGACTGGCGCTGGATATCTCCTCTGTAAAGCTGGAACAGATTGAAGAGGACCACTCGCTGCATGTGGAGCGAGTGTTTGCCATGCTGAGACATTGGCGGACTTGTCAGAGGGACAAAGCCACTGCTGCTCACCTACACTCCCTACTCAGTCAGGACGACTGGGCCCTGGCACCTGAGAGTATTGACTTCTTATTGAAGACTGACTGAGGCCTTGACTTTTTTTTAAGGTTCTTATCTGAAATTTGTAGAAAGGCCTCCATAAGAAGAAAAACAATACAGGTCTACTACTCATAAAAAAGGTGTAAATAATTTTGTTTTATAAATATCTTTTAATGATTTTTATTTTTTTGTCAGTTGTAGCTGTAGCACTGATTTGACAAAAACCCTTCATTCAAGGAGTGATGAGAAAAACCAACAAGGCAGCTTTCCTTTCATTCAATTTCAATCACACAGAGGCATAAATTAAGGGAGATAAATCCCTTCTCCATAGAAATTGTTAAGTGCTGTTTTGTTAAGTACCTTAGGATATGTTGGGGTCTGTTCTATTAAAATATAATTAGATTTTCCTTTTTGGTCCTGTGCCTTGAATATCAGTATCTACTTAAATCGAAGTTCTTCCATTTCTTTCTTAACTTACATGACATTAATCAAGTAAGTATACAGACAAAACCTCTCTCTTCGCTGCAGGACAGAAAGATTCAGAAGATCTTTTGTTCCCACAGCCATCAGACTTTATAACTCTTGTGTAAATAATAGATAACCTTTAGAAACGTGTCAAGTGAGACGCCAGACAATTGAATTTCCCTTCAGGATTAACAAAGTTCTTCTTATCTTATCTTATCATTGTCACTGCTTTGTAGTCTGTAGTTGTTCATCTTTGTCAAAACAGCCAAATACAGAGAATGGGATTCATTTACTTGTAAAAGATATTTTCTGTTCTATTTTACAAACATAAACTTAAAATGTTTAATGTGAATACCAAATGTGTAAAGTTTCAAATTGTGAGGGAAGAGGTGTGTTGGACTTAGCCCAGGATAAGACTGCAAGCTGCTCTGCATGGCTTGTTCAAAAAGTCACACGAGAATAACACAACAGAAACACAAAAGTAGCTCAGTTTAGTTTTTTTCTTACCTTACTCAAACCATCCCGCTTGGTTCCATGTTCTTGGGATTTAGATTTGGGGTCAAAACAGTCATTTTAACCAGACAAACAAATTTGTAACATGGCAGCAGTGGAGGAGGCCTCTGGAGTGTGGGGGTGTGTGTGGTGGTGGGGATTTAAAGAGACAGTAGTTGAAAGTTTTCTTCTTAGTGTTGAACAGCAGTTGGTATCCAGCTTTTTGGTGAGTTGAAAGTTTTACTTCTCTCATTTAATGGCGGATCGCGAGCAACGCTCAGGTGTATATCTGTTATATCAACATGTTTTATAGCATACCTGCAAGACAAAGTATGAAATTCCATTGCAATAGTTAAAAAATGCTCACCAAGCCTAAAAAAAATCACATTTTTTACAGAAAGAAAGACTCAATTTCACGATTCAGGGTGCTAAAGGGTGGTAAGAAAATTTTGGAAGTCACAAAAGACATGAGGCTGGCAGAAAAAAATGTGGTAAACAAATGGCCTGACTTAAATGTTTTTATTTGTTTTTATTTCTGATGTTCTGTGCGGTATGATTATTTGTCAGAGCACTTCGTAAACTTTTGTTTTTAAAAGTTCTATAGAAATAAAATTATAAGTATTATCATCATTGTACCTGCCCCTGAAATGAAGTATAGAAAGTGAAATAAACATCAAAATATTCACATATATTCCTTGTGTTTAATAACGTGAAAATAACTAGCTATACTATTCATAATACTTAATAAACTGTACTGCTACCTGTACCATAAAAACAGAGTAAATTGTCCTGAGTTGCTGCTTTTGCCACTTTTCCCTCACATTTATAACCGCCGGTTCGGGTCATTCTCATTCAATCACATGACAGGGCTTCTGTCCAATCAACGCGCTTCTCGGTGATCACTTCCGGTGGCGTTTCCTGTCAGTGTTTATAAACTGAGAAAATTGGAAGTGCGACAAGAAATAATAACCCACGGAAACTCTTAAACTTGAAAGGTAGGCATGTGTTTTTCCAGCACTGCTCGCTTGCGGCTCTTTTAACGTTTTATACTTTGCTACGTGCTTCTTTCTAACAGCTGTACCCGCTGAGGGAGGTGTTATTTTGTGGTCGGCGCCGAGTCCGCACGCCCTGCCTGCCTTGGCTGTTGTGTTGTCTGCGGAGGGGGTGGGGGGTCAGTCCTACCAGAGTTATCCCAAAACCCAACTACAGGGAAGCTAGCAGGCTAACCGACATAGATACAAGTCCCGCACACATTCAGATATTTTACCTGCGTGTTTTTGTTTCAGTCTGACTCAATAGAAGTCGGATTTTAAAGCAGAAAAACAAACGCTTTATTTCTGAATCGCAAATCTGCTCACTTGCTGTGCCGAAAGAGTAAAATGATGGCAATGACCAGTTACCTATGATATTTTCAGCTTTGAAATAAATGAATTCTCACGCATGGTTCATGCTGCTATTAATCTGCCTTGTCTTTTTTCAGCCTTAGTGTGCAACCTATTTGATAATGTGGATACTGCTCTTAATATCAGCGCCTAAAATTGACCTCCTCTCTTTTTATAAGATAAGATGTTCCTTTAATATTCCCACAGAGGGAAATTCCAAAATTACAGCAGCATAGTAAAGATACAAAAGAGAAAAATCAAAAGATAAAGAAACTTTGAGTTAAAACAAGATATGTGCATGTGTCATATTTCCATCTGTAAAGAATAAACATATTCTTTTGCACATTGAGGTTCCTGTCGTTGAGACAGCTGATACCCCTCTGTCACACATTTTGTGTACACTGCTCAGTACACTTAGTGTGTACTGAACAATCATTAAGAACGCCATTCAATGTAATGCTCATCAGTACATTACCGGCCATTATGTCTTCAATATTAAGTATAATCAGTACGGTGATCATTTTTATAATCAAGAATATTGCAAATTACATCGCATTAGACTGCCCCAGGTTTGTATGATGTTATGGCTGGTAAGTGTGTGCTGTACTGTACCTACTTTGAACGCACAAATCTCATAACTTTGAAACAGCATCAGTACTTTGTATTATAGACAGTAAAATAGTTGTAATCACACCGTTGCCTTTCTAGGTTTAGTCTTTTAAAAGTGAGTACTTTACACACAGGCAACTGAGCCTAAATATGAAATCTGTACTCTCCATGGTTGCATATGTGAACTAATCCAGTTGTTTGATGGCTGCTGGACCATTTTACACAGTCATGATTCTCTTATTAGTTTGTTTGAAATCATCTTAAGATGCGCAGTGTAGTATTTACATTTACATGTTTTGATTTCCTCCAATACATGACGTATGTTTTAGGTGGGCAGGTAAGGTTGGATCTGACTTTCACAAGTTTGTTAGAGTCCTGAGAACTGTTTTCTTCATCTCTGTGTTTTATATAGACAATGGAAATACAGCATGCACCAAACCATTGGGGCTTTCTTGCCTGATTAACTGCACATATCAAAGCTGGAACTAAATTTTTGGTCATACGTCCAAATTTGTTGATTTGTGAGACGGAAATGAATTGGACATTTTTTCAGCTCCTGATTCCAGCATGTAAAATAGTGGCCTTATGTTGTTACACCTCTACTTTCAGGCTGTTGCCCCTGATGATTTGGTTGGCCGTGGTTTCTTCTGTTACCCCTCATCCAGAGTGAGGCTCCCCCCTGTTACCCCAAACATACTTGCACTCAAACCACGGCGATGACAAACCATTCCAACAGGGACCATATGAAATGGGTCAGTGGAAGTCTCTTGGTCATCATTAGTTGTTATTCCCAGTCCTGATGTCACTTTGTTGGTTGGCGTGCTGGTTGCTTCCTCTCCTCCCCCTGACTCCTTAACTCTTTAAGGAGTACTATGGCCCCTTTCTTTCTGCTCTGACATGCTGTTTGTGTTGTCAGGCTGGGTTGCTGGGCTGTGAGGCGGTGCTGTCCAGCATGGCCCTGATGCAAGCCAACAACATCCCAGGTCAGAAGAGGATGATGTCACCTTTGGGTCAGGGGCACAGGGCCAGTCCCGAGAGCCTCCAGACCCACTCACAGCATGGCCACCATGGACACCAGGGTCACCACGGACAAGCCCACCACAGCCACATGGGCCATCCTTCAGCTGGAAGCTGTCCACCCCTGGTGAGATAGAGGAAAAAATGAACAAGGACCCCTTAAAATTATCCAAAGCTGTGATTTTAAAAACTGATTTCATTTAGAAAATGTGCACAAGAGTAAAGGTGGAGCTGTTGTATTGGAAGTGTATGAATCACAAATTTCATCATTAGTCAATATTGCTAAGTGTCTTTTGCACTGCAGTATTTCCTTGGATCAAGTTTTTTTTGCCTCAGTATAATTATAATTTAAATTGAATGACAAAATCACATACCTCTTCGATACATTGACATTTATATTAACCCATCAAAAACAACAGGAATAGATTTAGATTTGAACGATTTAGAAAAGAAGTCATCAAAACAGAAAAACATGAAGGAAGGAGACAAATCAGATGACTGATTGGACGGTCAGCACATCGCAAATGGTGAGTTTCTATCATGGGGTTATAGAGCTGTCAGTGCTACATGGCAGGTGCTCAATTCACACAAGGTAAAGTCTGCTGTGGAAACACAAGCAAGATCAGAATTTATCGTAGCATAGTGGACTGAACCAAACTGGACCCCCATATGGAAACATGCCAAAAGATGAAAATATGGACCCATGTTTTCACTTTATAGCATCTAATATTGAAAGCTGATATATTATTTAGCCATATGTTAATATCATGTTACTCCCATCTTGCCATGACATTTGAGTGTATTGGACACTGTTGATTGAGTTTGAATATATTCTTCTCTTCTTCCAAAAGCTGATCCGAAAAGATGGAGATTATCACACGTCAAGAATGATGGATGGAAAAGACATGCAGGCAAACCAGAATATGCAACCGAAGAAGAAGCACAAGAAATCAGGGTCATCTAACAAAGTCAAAGAAAAAGTGGAGGTAAAGATTGTTTGAAATCTGCGCTTGTCCTTTGGGAGTCATGAGATGGTGTCTAAAGATGTTCACTTTGATTCTCTCAATGATGTTGATAGCATATACTTCCACCAATGGACATGGATGATGACAGCTCCTTAAAAGTTCAGAAGAACTTCATCTGTGACCACTGCTATGGAGCTTTCCGAAGTAGTTACCATCTCAAGCGACATATACTTACACATACAGGTGAGAGGACACAGCTTGTGTCTTCAGTTCTATGACATTTTTGCCCTTCAAAGTCTTAGGAAATATAGGAAACTGAGCAGTATTGAGCGCATGTCCCCTTCTTGCTTAATCTGATGCTTTGACTATTACAAAGCAAAACACAGACTCTGGCTGAACCATCTGGATTAAAGGGATATTCTGGGGTAAAATTAATTTAGGGTCAAACATACCGTAACACCGAGTTAGACACCCCCTCGAGAGATGAATGTTACCGACTGCTTGCTTCTCTAGTTATACCAACTTTAGTAACAACCGCATGGTAGCAATACACAACAGTCTATGGAACCATATACAAACCTCAACCAAAGCGCCACTCTATAGCGAGACCTCAAGCCAGTCCATTACGGACTGCAGTGGGGTGACGCAGCTCAAGGAAGAACATTTATGATCATTTTTTTTATAATTTCCTTGAAGTAATAATCACCATATTAATCATTTTGCACTGCAGACACGGCAGTTCTTCTGCCTTAGCGTCTCAGTCTGATTGCATTTCAATGAAGAATTGATCATAAATGTTCTTCCTTGAGCTGCGTCACCCCGCTGTAGTCCATAATGGACTGGCCTGAGGTCACGCTACAAACAAGCGGCTGCTGGAAGAGAGTAGGTGAGTTGTGTTTAGTCTCTTTGCTAAAGAAATCAGGCCAAATTAAAAAGATGTTTGGTGGCTAGTGCTATGGCTAGGGCCCTATATGTGTATTGCTATTGTGCGGTCATTACTGAAGTTGGTAGAACTAGAGAAGCAAGCGGTCAGCAACATTCATCTCTAAAGGGGGTGTCTAACTCGGTGTAACGGTGTGTTGGACCCTAAATTAATTTTACGCAGGAATATCCCTTTAAATCTGGTTTTATCAGTGCATTTGATATCTTAGACCAACATCTGGGTATTTCCTTCCTTTCCTTACATGTCCTCTTAATGTGAACGCTGGATATGAATTTGTTCATTGTGCTGCTGTAGGAAGGTTTTCATTTGAATAATGATATTTTATCGTACTATTTAATAATGCATAGGCAGAGAAATCAAATCTTTTTTTTATTACTTTCACAGGAGAAAAGCCTTTTGCTTGCGATGCGTGTGATATGCGGTTTATTCAGCGTTACCACCTTGACCGGCACAAGAGGGTGCACAGCGGAGAGAAACCATACCAGTGTGACCGCTGCCACCAGGTTAGTTTAATTTACATGTGTTATCATATGCCTTGCAGTTTCAGCACATGCTGACTGAAACTAAAACACAAATCCTTTCTTCCTCTGTCTCCAGAACTTCTCACGGACAGACAGGCTGCTGAGACACCGGCGGCTGTGCACAGTTGGGATGACTAAAGAGGAGAACCAGTACTCACAGGACGCATCTGCCCATCCAGCTTCCTGGAGCCCCCTACAGTCCTCCAGCAACCGTTTGACTGTCTGACCCTCGTCTTTGTGTAGAGACCTCACAGACAGCAGTAGTGGAGCTCAAATGTACTCTACCTTGAAAACAGCCTAGCATAAAAACAATTTCATTTTAATCACAACAGCTCAGTCAATGAGCTGTTGATAGTGAGTTTTTGTATTTTTCTACTGTTACATTCATCTTACTGACAACAAGGGAGGGCTAATCTGTGAACACGGACAACAGGTCATGATTTTAAGGCAATAACTGAATGAAAATGCACACCTCTCCTTTTCACTAGAAGGTAGCAGCTGCTCTGGACTGGATAAGACTTCCAGCGGTACCTTGTTGACATCCTCTTGACCTGCTTTTGACCCTCTTCTTTGTATGGACAGTTCACAAGAAGACAATACAGGACTGGGTAGTATTAGAGTTTCAGCTTCTACCGTTTTAGTCGTCATCATGGTACCACTCATGCACTAGCTTCTTCTCAGCAGAGGTGGTAGAGGAAGATTCTGGCCTCCCATACATCATGGTATGTGTTATGAGAGTTCGACCACATTTGAGATCGAACTTTATGTATGTTAAAGTGAAATTAGCTTAATGCTGAGTTAAATGCAAATGTGTTTGTTTTTTCTTCATGTACACAAGTCTTAACTGGACCTGAAGTAACTTATAACCTGCCATTTTACAGAAAAACACTAAAGGCTAACCTGACTCTCCTCAGATGTTACATTTTGAGCTGACTGTGGCAGTAGTTAAGGTGTGTAGAGAATGCTCGCTCACTCGGACACTGTTCGACCTTGTTTTAAAGGGTCTAGAGTGTATTAGATTTTTGACGTTCTTGAACAAATTAGTAATCTGTTGATTGAATATTTTACCTTCATTTAGGAATTGTCTAATTTCAAATGAGTTGTTGTAATTGTCCATCTCTTACTAGGAACCGCTGTTAGTTTGTTTTTGTTTTTTTCTTGTTCACTGTTCATCAATTCTTCAGACTTAGTTTGCCTGAAAAGTCTGTGAGAGTATTTGAACAGGATCTAGTTATGGTTATTTGGTTGTTTCACACATTTAGATAAAATGTAGATTTCCATATGAACACTGGAACTGTTCTTGATTAAAAAAAAAAAAAACAAGCTGGATTAAGTGCTCATGAAAGCAGCCATGATAAGATTAATCTAGATAATGATGTGGCTTATTTTAACACCTCCATCACCTCACCGCTGTCTTGACCTGACTGAATGTTACCAGATACAGTGCCATGTCATTTCAGGTTTGATTTTGAACTTTATCAGTGAAGATGCCCTCTTGTTCAGAGTTATAATGCCCGGGTTATGTTTGTACGCTGAAAGCCTACATTGAGGAGCAGTGTGTCATATTCAGAGGAGTTTAGCAGAACTGATTTAGTAGGAATGGAGTATAATATTTTTACGTATGTTTGACTTTATGCATAATCACCAGGATATAGAAATAGTTTTGCCTTCATAAATATCTACATAGAAGTGGGTCCTCTGTAGCCAAGGCTGCCATCTTTCACTATACATGTTGAATGGTCAAACTCATATAATGCTCTTTTTGTTAAGAGCATGAGTGGCTCTATTGTGAGGGGCTTTGCAAAATGTATAAAGGACAAGAGGGTGGGTGTTTGGGGCAAAGCATTTGTACTAGCAGATGTTAAAAATTTGACAAATAGGACCATACTTTTTCTCTATCGTAGGAGATTCTTTTCCTCAACAGCCACCAGTGTGTGGGGTGAGCAGGGGAGCGTTCCAGTTCAAAATCCGACCACTAAATATCCTCTTTTACACACTGTACTTTTAATTATGGCTCTTAACACTGGACTGGAGATGTTAGCTCAGTTTTAGAGGAATTGATAGTAGACTGGTACTCCTGTTGCTGTTACAGTTTTAGATTGTGTGAAAACAAGAAGTTTCGGGTCCATCACTGATTTGTTTGCTTTTTATGAAGTCATTAATATATATTTTAATGGTTTTAGGGGTAGAGGATAGTATGTAAAGGACCTATACCCCAAAAGAAAATCAAAGTTTTGTCAAAGTTGTAATCTTTAGTCTGATGATTTCTTTTATCATACAAAAAGCCCTTTGCAAGACATCTTCAACTTGCCATTGGAAGGAAAGTGAAAGGGGCCACTTTTAGTTAATCAGTTATGATTGGTCAACATTTTTATGTTTTTGCATGTTTATGTTCAAGGATCTTAACATTTTGCTTTTGTAACTTTTTTTTAATGTAAGCCCCATCTGTCTTTCTTTTTTTTTCTTTTTGTATTTTCGCTATTTCAGGGGTGAAGTGAAATCAGTTTGGAGTCAATCATTCTGTAGCATGGAGCTTGTCATGGCAGTTTAGGGCCCCAAGTCTCAATAAAGCTGTTACACTTTTTCAACAAATGTAGTAGTACACATTTTCTGCAGTATTAAAAAAAATCCAGATTTTTTACTTTTTGTGTCTTTTCAACAGGTAGGAATAATTTATTTTGACCTATTAAAGCTGTCTACCTTTGGGTCTCACTCGACATAAAATGAGAATTTAGGCACTTGTTTTCAAATGGCACATTACTCAGTGTATCTTTCAGACTACAAAGATAGCGTCTCAGAGATCTGTAATACACCAACTGTGTCAGCAGATGGCATCCATGCAGATATAAGCAGCTGTTTTCTCCCTGAAGATCAAGAAACTGAACGTTTTTTGTCATTTGAAAAGAATGAATTTGAAAACAGATAAACATGAGTGGATTTATTAGAATCTGCTGTTAATTATGCAACAGTGTACTGTGACCTCAAACGATTGAGTCTAATTTGGCAGAGTTGAACTAATTAACAAGTCCTGGTCTGACAGTCATGTACTAACTCTCTAACACAGCATTCAGCTTTTAAACATAGAAGGTGTCAGTGAAAAATAAGTCAAACCACAAAAAAAGACAAGTGTACTCACATTTTAGATAGAGTGATTAAGACAATGATTATATGATATCAAGGTATTTAGTTCCTAATTTAAGAAAGTGCTCTAATCTGTTTTTAAATTGGCAATCTTTATCTTCAGACTCACTGATGTCAAGAGATGATGGATTGTAAATGAGTCTATGATCAAGTCCTCCATCTAGAGGTGTATATAAAAACCAAATTTGTTCAATTAATAATGATATAAAGCTGAAGAAAATCAGGAAGTCAAGATACAGCTTGCAATACATCTCAGACGCCAGAATGTTTTAAATTATAGAGCCCTCTCTGCACCACCAGAGGGAGGTGTGTTCTAACCAACTCTTTCTACACAGCCTCTTCAAGAAAGCAAGAAACAGATGGTTTGTGCAGAGCCAGGACCTCGGTAGTATTCTGGGGCCACTTCCATGAACTAATCACTGATGTCATGGCCTGGAGGCAGTTTGAAATATACGACCCAAATCTGCTTTTGCATTCCACTACGTGAAACTTTGAAAGGAAAGTCAAATTTCCAGTGAAGAGAAAGTCAGTAAGGCATATTTTCCGAGTCTGAGTCCAGGTTTTAGAAGACTCTCAATCTCCTGCTAAGCATTTGATTTGATTTAAATCTTGCTGTTAGCACGTCTTATTGTTAAACTGTGTCATCAAACAGACATCTAAGTGTGTGTGGAGATAGCTAAAACCACATTCTTCAGAGAGGAGAGAAGAATGTCTTGAAGTACTCTGCCCCGTCACTCCACCTGCATAACTACTGTTGTATCTGTCGTACGTTAGGAAGTGCAGATCATACCCTTTAGCACCTTCTTCTTTGCTATTGACCAGTTCCTTAATTAAAGCATTAGGAATAGGCTGGATGAGATCAGCCTGAGGGCTGCTGGGAGTGTGCGCTCTCCCCCATGGGAGACATCCCCTCCCTCTGCAGCCTGATTTACAGCACCCACAGGCCCCCGGCACTTAACAATGGACCTCCTTAAGTGAGGTGGATGGGGAGGAGACTGGAAAGAAGGGATAACACTCCATCTTCATACACAAAGTGCTGAAATCATCTCGGTGCGCAATAATCTCTGCGAGACAGAATACAGTCAGGACATAAAGTGTAGGAGTTCTGCCTTGTGCTCAGTCTGACTCACTATCAGGGAGGAGAGCTCAGTGTGAGAGTGATCACCTACTCTGCATGCTCACCTCCCTTGTGGAAGGATACAAAATAGCTCCTACAAACAAAAATCTCCAAAACAAGCAGTAAATCTAATCCGACTGTGCATACTGTGGCTCTGTAAACATCAGGGTGATTCAGGGGTTCCTCTAAAACAAGCGGTGGCAGCAGAAATGTTCTGTCTCCTACAAATGTTTGGATGCCCCCTGATCAAATACATCACAGGCTCACGGCGAATGATTGAAACCCTCCCAACAATAGCTCCTGCTATCTTCCTCTCCCCGAGGTGTGGGAGAGCCTTTTCATCTCAGGCTTTGATTAATAAAGGAATCTCTGGTTGGTTGAAGGCAGCAATCTGCCCCCCTGAGCATCCATCACTCCTGTGACAGCCCACCTCTCTGTGTTAATTAGCGGTGATATTTAAGCTATCTGAGGTGTACCGCTGCTGTCAGAGTGGTGCTGGTCCTGCTTATCATTAATATTTCAGCTTCTCTGTCCGGGTGCCTCCAGTTTTTATGGACACCTCATTGAACATGATCTTAAATGCTACAACAGAGACGCAGAGCGAGGGTTCACTGCATGTGCAAAACGATAAACAACCAAAACGAGAATACAGCGACTGAAAATCAGAAGAAGAAAGAACCGCTTTAGAGTTAATTTTGCTCTTTTGTGTGGCATTTTCTGCTAATCTAACTGTTTTGGTATGAGTGTAAAAACATAAATTTGACTTATCGCACTTAGACAATATTTTTTGATATTAGATGAGAGAATTTTGCTGTAAATCTAAAGTTCTCTCAAAAAATGAGCATTGAGAGTGGAAATGCATGACTTATTAATGATTACCAAATATTGTAATATTCTCAAACCTGGGGGCTATGATTCAGAAATTAATAATGTATGCAGCTGAATCCCAGTCTACTTTATAACCAAAAGGCATCCTACACCAGTATGAAAGCTTTAGAGATATGAAAGTAAAGAAGAAAAGGGAGGGGAATACTAGGGTTAAGCAGTGGGTCTTGGGCAGCTATTTACATAAATGGGTCAAAATACGCATTTATTGAGTCCATAGGGTGATAGGTAGGGCTGGGCAATAAAATGATAACAATATAGATTGAAAATTCAGTATCAATAAAACATGGTCAATATCCTTTTTGATAATGGGCATTCTGCCATGTTTTGGTAGAGTATACAAATAGCCAATTGAAAAGGGGAATTTCTCTGGGTCTGCTTTGCGTTGAACCAATCATGTGCTGAATTTGAACCAAGTAGCAAACAATTGTGTAGTAGCAGGCTGCATCTACACGCAACCATAGCACATGTGAAGCCGACAGTAATGTCGACAGATGATGACATCATCGACAACACTAGCACAAAAACATTGGTGGTGTGGAGGTATTTTGTTTTTTTTGAGGTCGGACATGAAGCAGAGTAATGTGCACTGCAAATTATGTCGAATAGATGTTCTCTCAAAGTCAGGGAATACCTCAAATCTTTTTCACCACCTGAAGCAGCGCCACGCAGCAGAGCACGCACAATGCAACGCAAGGAGCCCATGGCGCCTGTATATCCGAAATAGCCGACAATTTCTCTAGCGCAACACCTTACGACAAAAGGTTGAAGAGACACAAAGACCTCATAGATGCAGTAGCTTATTATATTGCAAAAGACATGCTACCAATAAGCACTGTTACATTTTATTTTTTATATCATGATATATCAATATCAACTGATGTGAAAAAAATATATCGTGATAAACTTTTTTCCATGTCGTCCAGCCCTAGTGCTGGGTTTCAGTGAAACCGTTTCACTATTACCGAAATCTATCAGAAGGTAGAGGTACAGTGAAAAAGTTGCCTGTGGGGTGTCTGCTAGGTGCCTCACAAAACAACTCTAGTGGGAAATAATCTGACATATGCTCTAAACTGTCCTACATTCACATATCTGTCACTACTTTTATAATTAGTGTAACTCAACAAGATTAATTAGCGTCTGCACTTTGTTCCCAGTTCTCTAAATATAACAGAAGAGACAGAAGCACCCATCGAGAGGTAACAAGAGATAAGAGAGGTTTGACCTACTTCTGCATATTTTTCGACACTCAGATCATGAATATTCATGTGAAAATTAATCTCTAGTCGGGTTTAAACTGACAACCTGAATTTTTAAAATGAAGTTTTTCTGGAATTCGGGTCGTTCACAAACACAGAGTTAAGCCCCGGGAAAAACATGGTTAAGGGGAATGCAGAAAAAAAGGTTCAAGAAGACTGAAAGCTCAAAAAATCTACTTCCACTTCTATTAATGGTGGCTTTTTTAGGGAGTTTCATTCTACCAAGCCAGAGCAGGAAAAGCAATGATGTCTGAATTTCATTTGGTTGCCTCAGTTTCAGAGTCCTCATGCTGTGTTAGTAATTTACGACCACAGTGTGAGGCTATTTAAGATACTTTAGAAGGAAATAAAAAGAGAAATGTTTGAAGAGACGCTTGTCTTTTTAAACCATAAAAAGTCAAAATGTTGTGGAAAAAAAAAAGATCTGCGGCAGAGTTTGAACTCCCAGCCCTGCCTTTAAGGAATCAATTACTGATTCAAATTACTACACTACGTACATGGCGCTCAAAGAAAGAAGAGGCTGAGTATGAAGGCCCAATGTGGCCTCATGTAGACCTTTGCGAAAGCTCTTATGTATGCAGGAACATTCACAAAGATCAAGTTCAGTTGTGCAGGACCTTGTTTCAGAGATTTATTTGGCCACACACCAGTCCACATTCTCCTTGACAGGATGAACACCCTGACGCCCTGCCGACTGTGTAAAAATCGCTTCCCAACAGAGGCGCGTTTAGCCTCGACACATACATTAACATGCCTTGGCCTTACACCACCCTATTAATCTACAGCTAGTTGGGACACGTTTGGACTGAGCTGCTTCTGAAGGGAACAACCAAGCAGGCATTATAAGAGTCGATGTTTGGCCTTCAGAGATGCTGGATCCTGGCAGTGCTTAGGGGAGACATACATATCTGGGAAGAGGCTTTTATCGGCCACAGAAGAGAAACACCATTAATTAACAAGCACAACAATCTGTGGTACAAATCTATCGATATTCACTTTGGCAAAAGCTTTTACCAAGTTCGTGATGAAATGTCTCTCATTTAAAGGAGTCACATTTTAAAATAAATACAGAATACAAAGGAGAGTCCTGTAAGTAAAGCATACACAGCAAAGACCTCATTGAAAAGGTTAGATGTACACGTGTGTATTAGTGTCAGACTGTTCTAACACACCACCAAACTATTCATCATTCAGTTCAGAGGGATCATGCTGTTCTGAAATGAGAAACCTGTTTTCCCTCTCTTGCGTGGCACATTTTCGAGGGCACGCCATGTAACCCCGTGTAACTTGTCAAGTTTATGAGATGGTTTCTTATGAAATTATACAATCCCCCTTTACAAGACAAGTCCACGGCTTTCCTCTGTCTCTTTGTACCCCAATGATTTCCCACTTTAGCAGACAACATCAGGTGTGAAGCGAAAGAGTAAAGAGAGGCATTAGATCTCCGAGGGAAACGGTGCATGAATTCTCTGAAGGTTGGGAGACAGGGCAGGGGCGGCCATACTTTTTTTACTCTTAGTTATTTCCATTGGTCAAGGTTGTTGCAGGGCCGCATTATCACTCTTCTTGATCTTGTGAGGATCATCTGTCAGGCTGATGCAGAGATAGGCTGCAGATGGATGAGATGGTAGCACAAACACAGCAGCATACAGTAGCCAGATGCAAACGTGACTTGTAGTTTGTTGCTGTATATGTTGATATGAAGTCTTATGTCTGCAGAGTCAAGTCAAAGCTGGCTGACTGTAGGATGCAAAGACGAATTCAGCAATTCCTCTTAGCAAGACATTACAAATGTTCCTAGATGCATTCAGATGTGCACAAATCGTACACTCAGACCATTTTCTCTCTTTTTGCAACATTCTTGGGTTTGTCTCTCTCAGTTTTTCATTTTTAGACAGTCTCTGCATTTCTTCCAGTCACACAAGTCTCTGTTCCTCCTCTATGCTCACAAGAAGGTCTCTTCTCCTCTCATGACGTCAGGACTATTATACTCCAGCGCCATCCCCCTTCAGGGATAAGATTTTACGATTGCAACCTGACACCGTTTCTGTGTCCTATAAGCGACAGAGCTGTAACTCACTTCAAAGGCAGAAGGCATCAAATCACAGTGCACCCATAAATTAACCTGTCGAGTCTCGGCCAATGAGGAGGCGGCTCTAAATCTTGGCTGTCACGCTGGCGGCCAATGGAAAGACGATGGCTGTAAATCTGTCAGGGCTGCGTCTGTTAACGGTGTTGTGGTGTGGTTGGGGAATCCATGGGGAGGAAGGGGGGAGAGAAAGTGAGAAAGAGTGGATGACAGTGGGAGGAGGGAAAAAACAGAGGGTTCACACTCAGCTATGTAACTGAAAATGCTTTTCTTTACATTCTTTGGCCCTGCGACAAAACAACATTCACGCATAGCATAGTCAAACAGCTGAAGGCACGCAGAGGAATTTTTTCAAACGAAACAAGACTTAACAAGGGCTGAAAAAAAAAGGGAGCAACTATATTTTTCCCTGACGGATGCAGTGGGGGGTTGAATAACACCAGCAGAAACACTCATAAAGCTTTTACGGCCAGCATGGCTGCCTCTGATGTTGACTGTCTACAGTGAAAATGACTGATGGCCCTTCTTTAGTGCTCTTGTGCATCATTGTGAGGCCAAAACTTAGTGTCGACTGTTTGATAACAGCAGTAACCCAGTAACCTCTGACTGTTATGACACAGTCTCATCAGTAGCAGCAGCAGCAGCAGAAGGCGCCTGGCTGCAGGGAACCCTCTGGATTAGAGACAAAATCCAATCCAGTCCACCTACAGACCAGATGTGCCCCAGTTGTGCAGCTTCAGAATATGATGGAGTTGCCCCTGTGGCACGGCAAACACAACCAAATACTCATGATTCGGGGTTTCCATCTGATCACAAAGAAACACAGTGTGATCCTGCTTCATTTAACCAACCAGAGTGTATTTTCACATCCAGAGTGCTTCCACTATCACTCTCCTAAAGCGTGCTTTCACTGAAGAGTAATGCACTGCACTGGCACAAGAGAGAGCTGCACGCAAAACAGGAACAGCAGAAGGGAAACACATCAAGTGGAATATTTCCCAGATTAACAATGCCCTTGGTGGTGCACTTTCATTATCCTATCAAAGTTGAACATTTTCATGTCATAAATCTTAAATGTATCATAAAACAGCCGGCGCTGCGAAGGCAACGCTATTCCAACCCCAAAGAAAAAAGCTTTCTCTTATCAAAGCCCACAATTTTTTCGCCAACCTGTAACGACAACCAATAAAGCAGCCACATTTGTGGTGACATTTTTATCTTACATCAACAAAAAAATTAAACATTAGCATCAGAATTTACAATCATCTTATGTCATTACTATGAATTCTTTTTTTTTTTTCCGTCAGAAACATAAACAGCCAGATGAGTTATTGCAAAGGCAGGCTTGAGTGCAATGGTGGAGGTGTTGTTTTTGGCTTGCTTTTCCTGGAGTGGCCATGATTCTCTATTCTATGGGAATCCATAAACAGACCCAGAGAGGGCAACTGGGGCCATAAACCACGTCAGGCTGCTGAGGCAAAGGGAGCAGGCTTGGACCCATACATTTTCCTCTGTCTATGCACACACACACACACACACACACGCCTTTTTTTAGAAATGTTACAGTAATTCTGTTATTATGATCCTTGTGTGGTTATTTTTTAAATCTTGGTTAATACAGATTGACAATTATTAACAAATGAGCTGCTTCATTTTTAAAATAGGTCATTTTTTCTAGCATAATGTTTATACCATTAGTTTAAGTCTTGGCATTATGTGAAAGCAGTGGAGGTAAATAGTCTTGTTAATTTTAATACTCTGGGTCATTAAACATCATGTGGGTCTTGGCCTTTGTCCTGCCCAGACAATATAATGGCACTTTCTTTAATGTGTTTACTGTATTGGGTCCAACATGCTGTCGTTGTTTTCTTCAGCGTTGTTTCTCTTTAGCAGGGCAAGCCACTGGATGGGTGCTCAGGCCCATTGACTATGACATAAAGACTCTATAAGCTTACAGATGATGATAATTTATTGACTCTAATTCACAGAGTACACACACACACAACAGAAAGAGAGAGCCACTCTTTCACTGTAAGCATCGATCAATTACAAAGCTCTAGCCTACACGTCTCTGACAATTTTACTGCATGTTATGTACAGCATGTCAAGCCATGGCGTTTCAGACTGTTATACTCATGCCTGTATAATTAATATAAATTACCTTGCTTGTTTTTTATGATGTTGAAACTGTAATTAGTGGATGAAAGCAAATCCCTGCAGCACCATTGGGGGTGCAGGGCTATCTTGATGAACAGTGCGGGTCTGGACAGGCACCTCATGTGGGATCTGTTTGAACCCTCTCTCTTTTCTGCCGTGCCCTTGCTGGGATCTCATCTAATCACATTTACTGCTGTCTACTTCTGCTAATCATGCCGTCTTTAACCTTCATGTTTAACCCTCGTTCACAGAAAGCACAGGGAGACAGAAGCGGGCCTCATTATACCGGCAAACTGGTGCGATAACAGTAAACTGGGGCAATAATGGAGTCCATTTATAATGATTACCTTTTCCTTTCTTAGTGCTCTTTCTCCAGTAAAACACGCTGCAAGTAGCATCAACACAAAGTCCATTCATGCTATCTCTGCAGCCATAAAGAGCCACAGATTCAAGGGCTCAATCAAACTGGAGCAAAGCCAAGGTGATAGGTCCACGGGTCAGAGCCAATAACACTTTCATTGGCTGCACTGCTCTCTGTTATGTGAAAACAACATTACACACTCACAGAATGAAACACTCAGTTGCCTTTATGGTGTGGTTATTTGGTTTGGTTAATAAAGCTAGATAACATTTAACTTACTTTTCTCATCTTCTAGGTTTTAATATGTTGATAAACTATCTTTAACCTGAAGTTTCTTGTTTTTTTCTTGCTTGGTCTGAGTTATTTCAACATACTTCCCTTATCACTTCAATCCTACACACAGAGTAAGAAGAAGTTGCACAAGACTTCTCTTGTTTTTCCCTCCAAAATGTTTCCAGTACAACATGCTTCATGTTTTTAACAGGCCTAGAAGTTTATGATTGAGATCAGCAGCTCCAATTGAGGATATCCAGTTTGACTAAGATTAAAATAATCACGAGATTTGAGGTGGTTTTTTTTTTGACAGACAGAAACATCCAAAATTTCCTGTCGGGCAAATAAATTGTGAAATGCTCTAATTTACCTTCTGCTAGCAAACATCACCACTTCTATGTGATCTTTTTCGTAAACTGCTCCAGGCCACAGACATCTCCACATCAAAAGCGTTCAATTTCTCTGCTTTTCCGTTTGATGTCTTGGCCAAGTGACTTTCATTGATATACAGAGCAAAGAAACTAAGATAGTTGTCAAACTTGTCATAAAAGCCGATGTTGTGGATAGGCTACAAATGGTTGCTTAATGAATTTCAGTCAGATCAACAGACACGCTTCAACATGTCAGGTGGAAAAGGAGAAGGTGTTTCAACTGTAAGAGCGAGGCAGAGGGAGACACGGTAACAAGACCTGCCACCTAATGTGGTTTTAATTAGGCACGGTTAGATCTGATAGTCGCACAACTAATACAAATCTCCTGTTGGATAAAAATACTGTCATTTTACTTTTAGATTATCAGCATGAGAGCATATAGACGAGTGGAAACAGATCATTTCTTCTATTCTAGTATGTGCCTGGGACCAAAATGATCTAGTGCTTGTCCTAATTCCCATCTCTCACTGGTGTGCACCCTTCATTTGCATTAAAATGAGTGCATAAGGTTAGTGTGTAACGTTGGGGGTGCACACAATTCATGCGGCACACAGTGGTTCTCTACAGAGCAGAAATGAATTAAGTACATCTCCATAAGACTTATCTGCATGTCACAGAAACACAGTACAATGCACGCCGCCGATCATAGCTGCATGAATGAGTCTCCTCCCTTCTCTGCCTTGACTAGAGTTTGAAATGTACCTCAACCTTGCACTGTGCTGCTTACTCCAGGAGATGGAGCTCTTGCCTTAGTGTCTTTGGCTCTTCCTGAGGTCTCAGAGAACAAAGAGCTTGCGGTGTTGCAGATCTAAATAAGGACACAAAAAGTATTAATAGAGCATCTAAAATCAGAGATATAAACGTGAAAATGATCCTAACAGGATTTATGGTTCCATTTATTTCTCAGTTTACAGATATAACGCTTTGAGGGACATCATGGAGCATATCTTAGGGCATACAGAAAAATGATGTCTGACTGCTTTTCACATGCAAGTGTCAACAAACATTTATTAAAAGAATCAGATGATAGAAGATCCCACGACAAACCATACCACTGCCGTCAGGGATGTAAGGACAGTACAAGTGGTACACTTTTTGATCACAATATTCATGTTAACTGATTGATAGATACAGTGGCTCAGTACTCTGTACAATAATCTAAAGGAAATGACAGTGGATTCAATTCTTATTCAAAGAGACACATGGAATGTTGCCACAGGCTACGATGAGGTTTGTGTGTATTTTATGGACCGATACGCTGGTTTTCTCAACACCGAAGTTCTGTAACCAAACAGGCCAGGTCAGGCCTTAAACTGGAATGTACACCAAATCTTATCCTCATGTCGATAATGTCACAAAACGCAAGCCTGAGCAAAAAAAAGATGTAGGAAAATGTTTGAAAAATGAAACAATGTGAAGCAGTAGTAGTCCTGGGAGTGTGACTGGATCAGCCAGTGGAACTCCTCACAGCTCTGATTGGAGGAGTGGAAATCAGGGGGGAAAGGAGTATGTGGATCAGTGCCATGAAGACTGCCTGAGCAGCGGCTCACTGGTAGACTGAAGAAGAGGCAGATCTATTGTAGACACGGCTCTACCGTAGAAGCGACCATTTGATTTGTTCTTTAGCAGACTGAAGAACCTGTGAGAGAAAACAAAGTCTAATCAAGCAGATCACTCCAAAAAACAAACGAGTTACGGTGTTAGATAACCTTAAACCCGAGAGTTTCTGATAACAGAACATGAGGGGTACATTTAAGGGGGAAAAAAAGTTCGTTATGACTGTCAAAAAACAGGACAAAGACGGGTGAATAAGTAATGTAAATGAAGAGAAATATGCAAGATCAAATTAATCATCTTAATTCATTGAATGACAACTGAATCATAACCATAAAGTATGAGGACTGGGGACAATCATTAATCTCAGCCAGAAGAGGGATGGCGTTAGCAAGTCTACGGACTCTTAAATGATGACATTAATCAAGGGGAGCTCACACACGGGCAGACTCATGTCAGAGCCAAAAGATAGGAACCTCCGTTAGAAACCTACCGCCATACCACTGAATAATTAGTAATCATGTACACTGTCATGGATATCAGACGATGCAGAATGAGACAACCAAGAAGCAGTGACACAGTGAGGGGATTTTAAATGATGACCTTGCATACATATAACAAGTTTTTACAGGAAGTAAACTAGTGATGCCGATAAACTTAGAGCAAAGAAAAGACCACGAAATGTTTTACCTGTGTGACTGTCTGCTCCGTCAAAGGCACATCATCCCCCTGCAAGAACAGTTTTATGTTATGTTAACATCTGACGCAACAAATAGTTGAAAATTCCTGCAGGAAAAGAATAGAGCTTACTCTGAGAGCCACACGGTGCACCACTTGCTGGGGGTCACTCTCAAGGATCACCCTGCAGCGGACAGCAGAGACCAAAATTACACAGAGAAAACGTACAGAAATAACTCCAATATTTTAATAAAAGGCGACGGTGCATCAAAAATTTTATGGCGCTACTTACCCTCCATCTACAATCTCATCCACGGCCAGGAAAAGCCCCTCCATATTCTCCAGCAAAGCTCGCCTCTCAACATTTTTTCTAGAGAGTAACAAAAACATATCACGCTTAACTTTCGAGACCTCACAATAAAAAGTTTTATTGATGTTCTGCAGAATGAATAACAGATGTAAAAACATACCTCAACATCTGGCTGAGCGAGTCAAAAAGGCAATTTAGAACAGCCATGAGCATAAGCTGTTGAAAATGACAGAATGCATCAGAATCTGTTCATGTTTAATGAGCCCACATTGTTTATCATCATCTGGGGGAAATAACAATCAAGAGATAACATGTACAATCACTTGTATGGTGTTCACAAAATGTTCTTTTAACATTAAAACATACCATTTTTCTGAATTGTAGCTTTCTCAAACCATATGTGATAACACACCATCATGTAATGATGAAGCGACTTCAATTGCAAAATAAGAATTCGGTTTATTTTAAGTATGAAAGCTGGATGCAGACAGATGGTTTTAACTGACAGAAACAATTTGTCAGTTTTTAATAGCACTAAAGCCCGCATGTTACAATACTGATTCCTGGAAGATCTGAAAACCAACACTGTTGAAAAACAACAATTTCAGAACCAGAAAATTTAGTTATTTTGAGATTTCTGGGAACATCAAAATCTGGAAATGGCTCCTTATTTACTTTTCAAGCTTTAAACACTAAATTCTGAATTATTAAGCAACACAACCACCAATGATATGAAACAGTCTCATGTAAGGCTCTATGTAGGTTGAATGTGGTTGTTTTATAGCCTGGCCGGGCCATCCTGTTGCGTGAATCACTTGATGTTCCTGGGAAGATCAAGATTCCCTTCCTAGGAAGGAACATCAAGTGATTCACGCAACAGGATGGCCCGGCCACGCTAGTTGTTTTAATCGAGGCAAAGAACCACAGAATTTGTTTTTAAACACATTGCTGTTTCAAAAAGAAACAAGGAAAGAGCAAAAATGTGAGAAATTTACGGGGGGGGGGCAATTCTTGGATCAAATTCAGTACAAGTCAAATATTCCTGTTTTATCAAGTTTTATTCAAACAATCTCCCAAGATGGAAGAAACATGGTGGGACTCCTTGTTTGGGAGGGACTCCTTGTTTCTCATGTATGATTTGTGATACTTGTTGACCAACAGGTGGACTTTTATCAGAAAATCCTAAAACTTTGCTTACCTCATTTTCATGAGAACTTCCAATCACATAGAAGAAGAGGTCTATGTTGCTCTTGTAGACAACGGTAAGGCCCTCCAGTAATGCTATCTCACCTGAAAAGACACATAAACCAACCATGAACATTATCAGACATGTACTTATAAAAGACAAGGGTCTGTGAATGAAACGATAAACAGTTCTTACTGTCTGTCCTGTGTGTTTTGTTGAATATGTTCTTCTCGAATGCCTTCTGCTCCTTCACTGTCGGGTACGTATCGTCATAATACTGTCGATCAATTTAAAGAGAAGAAATTTCCATGTAAAATCACAATTAAATTTGGCAGAACTTTAACTAAAGGACATTCAATACCATCATCATCGTCAATATATTTATTAAAGGCTAGAAATGTCAGGACTCTTAAAGGTTCATTTTACAAGTATTACAATATTTAAGGCTGTACACTTGGTTGCACAGATCCAAGTTACGATAGCCAGGAAAAATAGGTAGGGGAGAGTGGGGTAAGTTGAGCCACCCCCTGTTGTTTGGAAATTGTAAAAGAAATTGATAATGTGATCAAATATTTAGGAGATGGGCATTAATTCGTAGAGTCTGTGAAGGTTGGAAACACATGGGTGAAGGGGTTAGACATTTATTCACAAAAAAAAAAAAAAAAAAAAACATTTTTCACTCTTGAAAGTGAATTTGGTCTGTCATAATTTTTATTAGAATTGTGTTCAGACCAAAAAAGATCATTTTAAATTTGTTTTATACATCAATTGTGGTATCTATGAGCTACAACATGAGGTCAAAAACCTAGCATAAAAGTCCACCATTTTAGTTTAGAGGACTAACAAAGTCATAATAGTAGTTCTGGGGTAAGTTGAGGCAGTGGCGAGACGAGAGTATGATGAGAGGATCAGAGTTTTAGTTCAGATTGTTGAAATGTGTTACTTTTTCTTTTCAAAAATACAGCTGTGAATGTTCTGAAACACTTAGAGACATTCTCATGTTAAAATGGCTTTTTACAAAACATCTAAGTTATATGCAATAATGATAGAAAGAATTATTGTACCAGTTGAATAGGGTATGATAGATAAAAATACACATGAATGTGAAGAAGTGACTGTTATTTAGGGAGAGAGAAGGTGAGGGAGGGCTGTGCTGGAGAGTTGGGGGATAGTAGGGATACGGCTCACCCCATACATGGGGTAAGTTGACCATCAGAGACCGCTTTTTTTTTGGCATGCTATATTATCAAGACAGTTATGTTTACACTCATTCTGTTGGTTTGCAGGGATGAACAGCATCTTGAAATATATGCAGATACACTAGTTAGAGACAAAACTATGATTGACTTGATGTAGTGATCCGAACAAGAAATATGGCTGATCTGGCCCCACTCTCCCCCATATGTGGATTCCCTCCCTACACTGCTCTTGATCCTAGTACTTTAAAAACATGCTAATCAATGAAACCTCCATAAAGGTTCTTTATTTAATTGTATTAGTTTTTAATTCCGGAAATACTTCAAATATTTACTCACTGAAGTCAATTCTGCTGTACTAATGTCTCAAACATACCTTGGCATAGAGTCTGTCCCCGTCATTGTCCAGAATCAGCACTGCTTTGACTGTATACAGGGATGGTTCCTGTTCAAACAGAAAACAACAGAAATGTTTGCATTAATAGTATGACTGTGTTTTAAAGCTAAGTGACTTGAGGTATGAAACATATGGTTTTAATTGATCGTTGGTCACGAACTCCGACTAAACAGCACCAAAGACATTAGACGGGATGAATGAAACAAGCGCGATCCCACCGTAAGCCCAATCGTTTTGAAAATCATTGTTTAATCGCGGAGTCAGGGGGGCAGACATGACACTTCCACATCATCAACATACACAAACCTTCAAACTATTCGGCTGCTAGCTGGTTAGCCACTTTAGCTAACTCGTTACAGTGGTTATCTTCATGTCAAGTCAACTGGATAGACTGAATAAACCAATTTACGACGTTTTGAGACACAGTCCTCATCTTAAAATCAAAACTTAATCTAAAATAACACGCATAGTATTCAGTAAAATTAAAAATTTAACATTACCAGTATGGGAGAATCCATCTTTTTTTCTTGTTAGCACACTCACTGGAGGGCTATACGTAGGCTACGTCATACGCACAGTGAATTAGGCTCTTTCCTATTGGCTGACGCTTTGTACACGTCGTACGTCTTGGGCAAAGAGCAGTTTGAGATATAAGGAACAAATAACAAGAAGTCGTTTGTAGTATGTGTGCAAGTGACACTGCGAGTTATTAAATACATGCGGACTCCCTGGAATCTGTAACGAATTTTTCCCGTCAGCTTAAAACATTGCACCTTTGTTTGTCTCTGCGGTTAATTGTAAACACTTAATGTTCTCTAAGAACCTAAATTACGTCTAATTTTACTGATTTTGCAACACCATCCTGTACTAAGTCATTATTTTATTGAGTCAGCATGACCATGCCTGTCGTTGTCATATTCTATTCCCAAGTAATGATTTCTTTGAGGACTTCTTTAAAATGTGTTTATTTGTTTGCATATTTTGAAATAGCCCACAGAAAATATGCCATAAAGGTTAACGTTCAAATCTCTTTCATTGCTTCAATATTCAAATGAGAGTTTCAGCATGGATGATTATATAGTTTGTAAATAAAGCTGTAAGGTTATCGTAGCATGTTGTTCTTTGTTTATAGGGGTTCGATTTTAAAAGACTGTGTAGCAACATGAGAAAAATCTCTCATTTACAAGCCATTTTGCTTTCTTGTACTCATCAACATCTTTTTCAGGATCCTCCTACATTAAACCAACCTAAATTATCTTAGTTCCCACTTCTGGGAAGCACTTGGAAACCCAGAGTGATGGGGATTTCCCTCTATCTTACTCCATAAATGACCTCACTGTTTGGCCTTACTGTAAGATGTTTTTGGGCGTGAGTTTCAAATAATACTGGAATATGAACAGTTTTGGAAAAATAGTCTACAGTTAGCCAGTATTTACATGCAAAATGTTTGCTTGGTAAAAGGTTACCACCATTCTGACATGAATTTATAACGATACTGTGGACAGCCATGAAATGTTGCAATACAGTGCTATGTTTACACATTTCTTCCACAATGATTTCAAAATTACCCTAACCAGAGGAAACAGTATACTGCCTTGAACTCACTACTCTTAAAGTTGTATTGTAATGCCATCTTATTGTAGATGTCAAAGATATTCACATATTTTTGACATGTAGCTTTTTTGGCATCAGTGATGATGTTGTTGACTGGCAGTTAAATTTTTAAAAATATATGTTAACAACCAATGGTGTGAAATATGCTTAATGAGAGCTTGAGCAATGATAATGACTCTCCTTCGGCTGCATGTGTACCCTTCATATTTTAAAAAGCTATTTATGGATCATAAGTTGATCCATTCAGATGATTTTCAAAGCCAATTTTGAGGAAAGTGGTCAAAAGCCTTATGCATGTCTCCTGTTAAAGTTTATCCTAACCACATTCATTGTTTATCACATAAGTCCTATCTGTTACTTATAGCTCTATAAGTGGAAATTAATGTCCAAATAATAGAAAGAGAGAAAAAAGGGTAATGTAATAGTATCCCCTGTTCCCCTCTTCTTGGCGTGTACCAGTAGCCACAGCAGTTAGCAGTTCCCTTCCTAAGAACCAAGTGTTTCTTTTATCAGCGTTAAGCAGCGCTTCCGCTGACCAACATCCTCCTTCCCTTACCTTCCCTCTCTGCGACTGTGGTACCAACCAGCCTGCACATTCGCACATGAACACACATATATGAATAGCTTGTACACAATACACATGCATACAAATTCTTACATAGCCCCTTACATTATAGAAATCCTTAACCTCTATATCTCACAAAAGTTCTGTTTTAAAGACCAGTCCTATTTGTGTGAATGTACTGTAACAGACAGACAAATAAGAAAATTAGTAAGAATTACAATAATGTTGTTACAAAATCACTTAATCTAAGCATCTAGAGATAAGGGCAGACCGTATTGACACATTCAGAGAAATGATGCTGCATATTCAGGTTCCTCATTTGCTGTTTCAAGTAGAGATAACCTTCAACCATCATGACAAACAATTTAAGGAACATAGATTCAGATGTCCTTTTAAAATTCACTTAATGTTTTCATCTTCAGTTGCTCTAAGGAGAACTGTGTTCAATGAATAAAACTTCATTAATACTATAAAACTTGAAATGACCATCAAAAACCAGGATGTTTTGTGTTGATGTCAAACATTTACGGGCAGAAAATAAGCAATAGTTCTTTATTTTTCTGTTTAGCTCAAGATTACAAAAAGTAAGTTGATAAATGTAAGAAAAAAATAATTCTTCAATCCTCTCTCTATTTTTTCCTTTTCCCAGAAACTGACTCCAAAAATATTCCCTTTCTTTGATACCACAACCCATCCATTTTGTTTAGTAGTGAGGTGGTTTTTCCACTCATGTCTGATACAGCTTTCTGGATGTTAAAGCAAAACCAAAGATGCCACATTCCTCTTTTTTTTAATAAATAAATGAAATGCCATGGAAACAACAGCACAGAAGGACACCATATTGAACCATTTCAGCCACATTAGACTTAACATACCCTAACAAACAATGCAAAAGTCATTAAGAGAGTTTCAGCTGAAGTGAGTCAACTTTGGGCCGTCCCCAGCCAGCTGAAACTCTCTATTTTTGAGGTAGAGCACTGAGGTATAGACTGAGAAATGACTGACAAACCCTGGAGGTTCAGGGAAGCTGGAGAGCAGAGATGTCAAAGACTAATTGAAGCAAACAAACACAAACAGGGAACGTGGGCGTTGACCTGGGAACTGTGTCCAGATTGAAAACCACTGTGGTCGCAGTAATAACAGGGTGCTCTTTGGCACGCTGTGGTAGTGGTTGAGTCAGGGGCTGGGTGCTTGGAACTCAGGGTTGGGAAGTCCCTTCTTTGATTCCGGGTAGACATTCACCTTTCTTGACTCTGTCAGCCACCTACTTTTTCCATCTTAGAACAATGACAGAGAAAACATTGAAATTTATGTCTTCGTGGGATGTAATACAGTAATGGTCGAAACAAGTCGCTCCATGTTCTCATGGTTTTACAAACTACAGAGCCTCGCTGAAAGCCCATATTTACCAATAAAAAGAAAAATGATGGCAGAAATTGTCAAACAACAATCCTATTGATATCTGTTACAATTTAAGTATCATTCATTTATTTTACTCAACACCATGATGCACATATACAAGTGTCCATAAACCTTGGGTAGGCTTAATCTCCTTATTGTCAAGTGTATTCAATGCAACTCTGGTTAAAGAAAGAGAAAACTTTGAGCTGATTTCTGTAAATAAAGTGAATGGGTAATTCTATTTTTGTCAGTATTTGTGCAAGAAGTTTTGTATTGAATTGATTTTTCAAGTGTGAAGTCCACGTGAAAGTTATTCAGACTTGTATTCCCCTTTTTTTTGTTTATCAGAGTCAATTAAGAGAATTTATTCAAGGAAATTCCAGTGGAAAGTGATGGTGACAACCTTTTGTTCATACTTAATTACTTAAAAACACTTTGTTGCACACTTACGCTGTTTTGTGAAGATAATTCACATAATTCACTCATTAACTATTGATCATGCAGATAGTTTCAAGAATATTTGCAGTAGTTAAAAAAAAAGTTATCAGGAACAAAGTCATAACTTGTTTTTGTTTTGTCGACAAATGGGATATGTAATTATATTTTTATAGTTCTGGATCATGTTGAATGTGGTAACCATTAGAAAAGTTTTCAATCACGACTGAAAGAGTGTCACACTTTTCTATCACGGTGAATAAAGATAACTTCAATATGGCTTCAGTCAGCTATAAATATGCCACCTCTCATATCAGTAATTGTACACTTTTGCACAATGGGGCAGTTCCATGTAACACAGTCTTTGTGAGTTTGCAGTCTTTGCAGGGCTTCAGATCAGGGCAAAGAGGGGATTTTTTGTGAGGGGTTTTAATGGTCACTTGCTATGTAAGACACGCTCCCCTCTATTCTCCCCCTGCTCCTCTCTCTCCCTTGGTGGTTGCTCTGCCAGATAGAGGAACAATGTAGTCTTTCTTACCTGTCTGAGGGTGTACATTCCATCTCTACCAAACTAAGTCTCAATCCTGCCTCCAACCCACCCCTGCTCGAATCGGGCCCTCGCTGCGATGCAGGCTCTGACTCCAGGTGCTCCACATCACACTCCTCATATCTTTTGTTTGGGACTGTATACAGGACTGAAACAACCATCTGGCTAGTTTCCTCTCATTTTAAGTTTAGTGTGTGTACTTTATTTGTCTATGTCATTCTGAAGTGTAATCTGAATTGCTCATGTTTTTTTTTTCTTATCCTAAACATTTACCTACTTCAGTGTGGACTTGACAGAATGATTTTTTGCCAAACTGTTGGTCTGTGGTTTGTCGTGTGGGCAAAAGGGAAATTTGGAGGTTGGGGTGTAAGTGTGCTATTAAGGATACAGTGAGTGCAAAAATTTGTGGTGTGGGTGCCTTACAGGAAGATTGCGTTTGTCTGCACTGAGCCATCCCATTTATGCCGGTGGCTGTAAGTAAAGCAGAACAGAGTGAGACACAGAGTTGAATGAGAGATCGAACTGCAGGCCTCGTGTGTTTAACCTCTTGTGATCTGCCAAACACATGTGTGCTCAGCGCATGACTTCTGTTTTACTAATTTTTTCTTCCTCTGACCTCCAGGATTGTGCCTTTGTTCAAAGACTTTTTTTTCTGACACATCACCTATCGAAGCGGAGAATGTTGCACAGGTATGTTCATTCATATCTTCTCTTATTTTGTTGCAGATCAGCGCTAAGGATGTACAGTTGTGTTGTTTAAACAATATGTTCACTCCTGTAGGTTTATCACTTTAGATAGTATGAGCCCAAATTGCCATGCTTCAGTATCTGAATATTGTAAATCTAGTATTACTGAAAGTTTATCAGTTAAAGTTACTGGATAATAATCAATCAAAATCTAATCAAACAAACTTTATAAATATAGTACGTTTCATGCAAAATAGAAAAGAAAAACCATTAAAAAGATCTTGAATAAAAATTCTTGTATGTTAATAGAGTTGCACAACTTTTAATCACAAGTTCTGTCCTGATGACCTTGTTCAACCTATGTGATTAAATTAACAAATAGAGTTTTAGTATCTGAAGTAAATTTTGTTTCCTTTGAATAGGAGTTTTAATAGGACATATGATGGAAAACAGCGTTTTATGAAGCAGTGTCAGTCATGGAATAGTCATTGTAATGAAAAACTAAGTGCATACATTTTTACATTTTGGAGGTACTAAGAGGAAATTTCACACATCACTTCAGTGTTCATATAACAAAAAAGGGAACACATTTGTAGAGGAATTCTGCTTAGAGATATGCCACCATTATCAAACGGAGTGCCATATGTAGAGAACATAACAACAGCTGCTTAAAAATATGCCACGTTTAGCTCTTGAATTCAAATCTCAAACATTTTATTTGCACAGGCTACTGGAGTATATTTAAAGATCTGCACACCGAATACAGACTTTCATCAGCTTAGGTTAGTTTTGTTACTTCAGTTTTGTTTTATTAATAACTCTGAGATATCACCATCTGCTCCATCACTGTGAAAGTAAGCGCAGAGCAGTTTCTGTACAACTATAACAGTTTTGGCTGTCTTGTACTGATGTCACAGTTATTGATGAAGACTACTTTCAGTGAGAATATACTTCTACGGTAACTAGAAATATCTAAAGCCTCAAAAAAAAAAAAAAAAAAAAAAAGAATTAATTATTTTTCTTGCACACTTGAAAAGTTGGATTGACCTCATAAGAGGTGTCAAGAAGACTTTTACCCATTGCCCATTTATTCATCTATTTATAAGTTTGTATTAGCAAAAATATGTATGTGTGCACCGTTGCAGCTATTATTAGTCTCATCCCTGGTATGGCTTTTTAAATTGAATAACTGAAATAGATGCTTCACAATGCCTTTAATAGAATGTATCTATATGTTTATGCATGTATTTAAGTTTGTGTCTACACTACACACAACATTTGCTAAGATGTATGTGTGTGTGCCACGTAGGAAGGTCTACACTCGGCATTTAAGCTCAACACTAAATTTTCCAAAGTGGCCCTCAGCCTCCAGTCTGTCTTGCAGCTGCAGCATGCTGTTTTCCCGCAGATTGTCTTATCAGGGGTCGGCAATGCTGCAGCCTGGGACGGCTGATGGGAGGAGTCAGTGCAACTAAACTGAATCCTTCATGTGCTCCAAAAGAACCTACTACACAGCCAGCAGTCATGTCTTTAGAGTCCGTTGGTCAATAGATTTGTGATGTGCAGTTTATTTAGCAAATGTGTGTTTGAGGGCATGAGATAGGTCCTTGTTGAGTATATTTTTTAACTTAACTATTTGGAGTTGAGAGGAACGGTAGGAGTGATAACAAGCTGCTCTGTGTCCTCACCAGGTTGGTCTTTGGCTTTGAGAGTCTGTCCTGAATGTGTTCAACAGCCAACTATGTTCTCCCACTGAGGAGAACCTTTGAGGTAAGTCCATCAGACTTAACCGGCACAAAATCATATGATATACTGATAAATTGTCATTAACAATAATCGGTTCCCTTTTGATATCAAGGGATTTGCCACTCCAGGCAGGCTGTGTGGAGGAGTTTCCATGTCAACTAATTTCCCTGGAGCCAGGCCTCATGGAGCTCCTCAGGATACAGAGATGGACGTGGCTTGGCAGGAGCTGATGGCCATCACAGAGCTGCAGGTATCGATCAAGCACAGACATATTTACAACTTTTTAAAATGTTGTCTTTTTATCCTGATATTGTAAGTCATCAAAAAAAAAATTGTGCCTCATAGTCATGTTAGCTTTTATAACCTTTGTGGAGGGTGTTCTGTATTTTAAACATAGAAGTGGGTGAGGCTCATTATGGTACATATTTTCATTTGTTGCCAAGTGTGGCAAAGCTAAAACACACTCAGCTATAAAAGGACAACAATGGCCTGTTTGAATGATGGCAGGATAAAGAGTTTGTGAAAGAGGGCAAGTGCTGTATGTTGCTAGCAGCCTCCTATACTGCACAATAGCCATCTGTTTCAGGTGAAACCTGACCGGATCTATCAGAGCCCTTCATAGGCTATGGGTGGCATGCTGAAGTGGGGGCAAACTGTGTGCTATAGTGCGCTGGATGAGACCAAAAAAGACAATGTTCCACTCATTAACCTGAAGGTCTAGGAAATTTAGTAATTGCCTTCAATCATTGTGTAACACTGGCTGATCTGAATGTCATTCATACCTGGCGATGTCCTTATTTTGTCTCTTAAACTAGTTTGATACCCCTGGTGAAGCCTCCTATGAAGCATCGCAGTACCAAAGCATGGAGCCCATGGTCCCTATGGGAGGATATGGGATGACTCAGACCCATCAACAGCCTCCGCAGGCTGCTTGTGATCTCAGCACTACCAACACGTATGATGGATGCTACTCTCAAGAGGTGTCGGTTTGTCATCATCAAATAAACAGCAATGCAGAGGCGATCTACGGACATTCTGAACCTCATCCCAGTCAGCGTTTGCCCCTTATACCAGCGCACACCCAGCCCTCACTCATGGCTCCAAGAGAACAAATGAGCATGTCTGGTTCTGGTCAGGGAAACAGGAGGTCCAATGCTTGCCTCTCTCAGGGTCGGCACGTGCTGTGGACAGCACACGGACAGAGTTCACACACTCGCTCAGCTGATGATCTTGAATCAGACTCTGGTCTCTCTTTGGGTTCCAGCCCACCTTTGGCCTCACCTGATAACCCTGTTGGTGGTGTACCGGGCTACCAAAGTGTAGACGTTAATATGACACATAGTGATGGTGAGTCAGACAGTATGACTGAGCATGCTCGAGCAGTACATGTGCATTATTCCATGGACTACCAGAATCATGCTCACACCTATTTACAGTCAGGTGCACATACCTCTTATTATCCAACCCAAAATGCCTATTCTCAATCTAACGCCTTTGGTCATTGGTCAGGTAAACAGCAGGGTCAAAGCACAGCTCTGGGTGACTTGTTCACTGACTCTGGTGTCACCAGCAGAGGGAGCTCACAACATAATCTGTACACCAAGCCGTCAGGGAGCACCTCAGCGTCTACTCCACTGAGCAGAGATGAGAGACGGGCCTTCGCTCTGAAGATCCCCTTCCCCATGGAGAAGATCATCAATCTACCTGTGGACGACTTCAACGAGCTCCTCACACAGTATACTTTGACAGATACTCAACTGGCACTGGTCAGAGACATTAGACGAAGGGGAAAGAACAAGGTGGCTGCTCAGAATTGCAGAAAAAGGAAGCTTGAGAGTATCATCAACCTCGAGAGACAACTGAACCAGCTGCAGGCCCAAAGAGAGCACCTAGCACAGGAGAGGCTGGAATTCAAGCGCAGCCTGTCTTTTATTAAATGTCGCCTGGCAGACCTCTATTCTGAAGTATTCGCACACTTAAGAGATGAAGATGGACAGCCTTACTCAGTAGATGAGTACTCTCTGCAACAGACGCCTGATGGGAAAATTTATTTGGTGCCCCATACATCTATGCACAAAGGAGAGCAATGTTGAATTAAGGATCACTTATGAATAACATTTACAACAGGAGGAATTAAGCCTAACTGTGCCATTTCAGTGTATTATCATGCTGTTGACTTTTTTATTGTAATAATAACATGTATTGACATGTTGTCTTTTATCAATGACTGAGACCACAACAGAATTAAATGCAAAAATACTTTATTAAAAAAAGTTTTAAAATCACTGCACAGCAGTCTCCTGGTAAAAAATTGGACACTGCACAGCAGTCAGGATTTCATCTGGACCAAAAAAAAGAAGAAAAAAAGTCTTCTACACCCACAAGATTTTTTTTACAAACCTGTGAAAAAAAAAAAAAAAAAGTTAGAAAAATGATCTCGAGCTAAATGAATGTGTGATTTTGACAACTTTTACCTTATTTGGCCGTTATCAGGGAGTGAGGTCAGGTTTCAGGGACATGCAGTTACCTGGAAAAGAGAAAGAGAAATGAGTAAAGATAAAACTTTATAAAAGGGGGCTGTGATTTTTTTTTTCATAGCATGCATTAAATTGGGCCACTATGATGAATTAAGAGGCCAAGTTACCAGTCAACATTGTTGCAAGTCATAATAAAACGTTTTGCACATGATTGTAATGTCATTACTCGGCTATAGGACTTGCTACCAGCTACATGACAAAATAAGCAAGACATACTATAGTTGAGAAGGCTGGTCTTACCTACACAGCATATAAGCCCTTTGGTAGCTGCTGCCTGCTAGTCTCAGGCCTCTTTTCTCACTCTCCCCTGCTTCAATGATCCTGGCGATGATTTTGCTACTTCTCTCCCTCAGCTGGCTTCCATGGCTAGCCTCAAAGACTTTGCATGTAAGCTAGCATCCTCCAGATGATCATTGCAGAGCTCAGGACAGTCTGTACCACGTGACGAGCTCTTTATGTTGAATGTATTTGTACACCACGCCGTGTTGTTTATATATGTTTATATCACATGCATTGAATGCATGTGTAGTTCTTTCATCCATCACCTTAACCAGTCACCTTACAGTGTGTCAAATGTGGCTCTCCCCACCTTTGTGCAGACACTGATAATGAACCCTCCCTTACCCAAATCACTTAAGAGGCTAACAAGGACTTAAAAAAAACTGAAAGATGTTTTATTTCAGCTTGATTGGATGCAGTTACAAATAAAAACCAGACTCAAAAAAGAAAAAATCTACATAAAACCTTGTTGGAATGCTTTCTTTCCAGTAACACAGTTGATGAAAAAACACAAAAATGTTTAAATGAAGACCCTCCATGATTAAGCTACTGTACATCTCTTCTTGCAGCGGCAGTAACCTGCCACAACTGTTTGGCTGAGCAGATTTAGGAGGAAAACCTGCAGCTGCCCTGTCATTTCGCTTGCTCTCCTCGCTCTCCTCTCCTAAGTACATAGTCCTGTTGAACAATACGGAACAACATTGTTAACTGTGCACTGACTTTGTATGACCTGACATCCAGAGTGATTGTTTTAAATCGTTATCTACACTTAACGTGTCCCTTCAGATACAAACTCTGGTTTATGATACAAAGTGTATAGTTCAGGCATGCCTCTTGTTACTCACTTCACATTTAAAAGCGACGGCCGTATCCACCATTGTTTGAGCCACTTCCATAGCCTCCTTCAAGCAAGAACAGGAAAGGTCAGTCTTCAGGTACAGAAGGGTCAAATCGGTCATTTAAGCTCACGTTTTCAACATACCAAAGTTCCTTCCACCTCCTCCACCGCCGCCGCCACCACCAAAGTTCTTCATTGGGCCAAAGTTGGAGGCCTGGGGGTCATAGTGGCCCATGTTATTGTAGTTTCCTCCACCGCCGCCGCCTCCACCTCCACCGCAGTTGCCTTTGAAGAAATAGAATCTCAGTTAACAAAAAACCTTTTGAAACTATTAAAGCAAGGGAGAAAAAAATATATCACAACACTTACCATAGCCATTGCTGTCATAACCATTTCCACCATATCCACCACCTCCTCCACCGCCACCCTGGTTGTAGCCTTGGTTGTAGCCCCGGTTGCCTCCATTATTGTAGCCACCAGGACCCCCAGGACCACCTCCATAACCTAGAACAAATGTTGGATTTAGTATCTAAATAAAAACAATTTGCAAATAGAGCCGAGAGTATAAGCCTTTCTTACCAACATCTCCTCCATTGCAGTTGTAAGGGCCGTCTCCATATCGCCCCCTGCCACCTGATGGGAGAGAAGGTGGAGTGTTAGATATCACACCAATACATTTAACTTTGCCAAATGATGACTACATTCTCAGCAGTCTTACCCTGATTAAAGCCCCTGTCGTATTCATAGGGCCTTCCTCCACTGCTGCGACCTAAATAAAAGACATTAACATCAACACTCAGGATTGTGCGCAGTACCAGAATGATCTGGTTGCTTCTTATAATTAAGCATTTTTTTAAATACACATCAAACCTCTCATACCCATTCCTGTAGTCTGCATTTCCTGCCTGGTCAGGGCCTTCCTTACTTCACAGTTGTGGGAGTTGATTGTGTGATATTTCTGGACTGTGGGGACACAAGACTGTTACCCATCTGTTTTAAGAATGGCATGAATCGTAGAGAGAAGGAAACAAAGCATCTACTTACTGACAATCCTGTCGACTGAGTCGTGGTCGTCAAACGTCACAAATGCGAAGCCCCTCTTTTTGCCAGTGTTGCGATCGGTCATGATGTCGATAACCTCAATCTTGCCAAACTGCTGGAAGTAGTCTCGCAGGTGGGACTCTTCTGTATCCTCCTTGATGCCTCCAACAAAGATCTTTTTTGTGGTCACATGGGCACCAGGCCTGTTTGAGTCCTTAACACAAAAGAAGGTACTGTTAATATTGGCTCATCTCCTTTATATTCATGTTGTGGCAAGACTGATTCTTAACACACCTCTCGGGAAACGGCTCTCTTGGGTTCAACAACTCTCCCATCAACCTTGTGAGGGCGGGCAGACATGGCTGCATCAACCTCCTGTACAGATGAGTATGTGACGAAACCAAAACCCCTGGACCTCTTTGTGTTGGGGTCCCTCATGACCTGCAAGAAAAGTCCGTTTTCAATTCAACTTCTGTCCCATACGGCCAATATAAAAGCAGTGCATTAGAAAACAAAGCCTTCTCTTACCACACAGTCTGTAAGGCTCCCCCATTGCTCGAAATGAGCACGCAGGCTTTCGTCTGTGGTCTCGAAGCTCAGTCCTCCGATAAACAGCTTGCGAAGCTGCTCCGGCTCGCGTGGGACCTGCACCATGAACAAAGCCATAACATGAGGGCCGGTGTTCAAATGACTACATGTTCTTGGAAATCTATGTTATTAAGCTGCTGCTGCTGGTGGTTGCTTCTCAACTCAACCCTGCATCACCTCTTATGAAATCGGTGAGGGGAGGTCGGAGACACCGCCGCCATTAACAGTGGTCGATTGTTCTCGTGGTCTCATATTAACGGCGACATTAATCAAATGCGACAGCTGAATGTGTGCTTTGGTACATATATCCAGCTTCAATAAGAGCAGCCATTATTAAAACTGTGTTTACTATCACAGAGGTGTTGATTCTCATACATAGTACGCCGTGTGAACAAAAGGCCATGAGGCCCGGCCGCTATAAAATGGCGGCTTCACAATACTAGATGGCTGCGGCTGAAATGTGGAAAAAGCCACCTCCGCCGATCTCATATCTAATTCTTACAAGATTCAAGAACCTTGAATTTGCAACCATACTATGCAGCAGAGACTAAAATGTGTACAACAAGAGGAAAACTACTCACGTCCTTCGACATTATCCAGAAATCCTTGAAGACTCCTTGTGAACTGCCCGGAGAGAAGCGATCTGCGTCAGACGAGCCCAGCCCAGCGCTCAATCGTAGTATAAATAGCGGAGTATACACCTCTGTCACACAGCCATTGGCCAGGTGTTCCCGCTGGAGCTTGACGATCGCGTTTAGCAAGATTTGATTGGACGGTATTCAATCAATCAACTCCTCCAGCCAATGAGAACACAGTAGATATTACTCTCATCGGTGTAGCTAATAAATTAAGCATCAGAGGCATTATGTGGCGTTGGTTATTGAACAAAATAAATACAGTCTCATAATTGCACATGTGATAGCACGTGTAATGCACATAATGATTAAAAACATTACATGGCATTGATTTTTACAAGAGAGGGTGCTGCGCCCGTCTTAAAATCAGTTTTCCTTTCCAGTTTGCACACAAGTTGATATTTTTTATTTAAAACATATTGCCAAATTAAAGTCAAACATGTTTTCTGCGCTCATTTAGAATCACGTTTTGCCTTGCAGAAGCATATTCGCCAAATATGTAGGTCATCAGCTGACCGAGGGGCGGTGACTTTCATTGTGCGCCTTTAACGCGCGCTTTTTACGCACAGTCAAGCGCACAGCAGCTTTTTGTGATCCAGGCTAGATGCTAAAGTAGCCTCGCGTTGGCCTCACACAACACAGGTTAACGAGATACGCGGCTTGTCTTCGGTTTACTGCCCAGAACCGACCGTCTTCATAACCAAAAGGTAAGCAATATCCATCCCATTGTCGTCTCATACCTGCTGCAGGTATCGCGCTGTACGTCTGCGTATTGGTATCAAAGATGAAACCTGCTAGCTTTGTGAGCGTTAGCTTGCGGGCTAGATGCATTAGCATTATTGCCTTTGATGGGCAGTGGTTAGCTCGGTATGTTAGCTTAGCAAACACAGTGTCTTTAAGTACAATACACGAATGAATTTTACGGTTTCTGGTCTATAAATGAGTTACTTTGGCGAACATGTCGAGTCCGAGATGTTTCCCCCATTCAGTTTGTGTAGCATTTCAAGTCACGGCGTGCAGACCAGAAAGCTAAGGTAAGGTAATGTATGTCGTTCAGATATAGCCTATGCTGGCTTGCTATGTAGTATGTTGCCCTTCCTCAAACGCCTGCGTCGAGTTAAGCAATGAAAAGCACACTTCACTTTTGGAAAACTTGTTCAGATTTTCTGTGACGGTCGTGTTTCTGCACAGGGATTTGCCTTCAGCTTGCAGCAGCACACTGTTGAGCACCAAACTTTGCTATGGGCAAGAAGTCTCGCGAAGAGGAATCCTCATCTTCTGATGAAGAGGAGTATGTTGTGGAGAAGGTGCTGGACAGGAGGGTGGTGAAAGGCAGAGTGGAGTTCTTCCTAAAGTGGAAAGGATATTCAGAGTAAGTCATTATCTCAGAGTTCCACGACATTCACGACACGAAAAACAATCCCACATTATCAACATGTTTTTGTTTTGATATGAGGAGAGTGTAATCTGATTCTAAACTCTGGTTATTAGATTTGATGAGAGAGCTTTATATAACAGTAGTTACGGATCTGACCATGCAAACAAAGATTGAAAATGAAGAGGCTTTATAAAAGTAGAGTTTAATGCAAAGCTCTTGTGTTGGGCCTCATGAGATTGACTGTTTATTGCTGGTTGGTGTAGTTTAGAAAAATCACAAGCTTGTTGATGTTGGTAAGGCTGTTGAATTAAAATGTGGTTTTTCCAATACTTTTTTCAGAAAGCACAACACTTGGGAGCCAGAGAAGAATCTGGACTGCCCTGAGCTCATCTCAGAGTTCATGAAGACCTACAAGAAAAGCAGCAGTGGTGGGAGCTCCACACCTACCGGCGGGGCCAGCAAATCAAGCACAGGCTCCTCAGGACGCTCCAAAGAATCCAGTACCTCAAAGAAGAGAAGCTCTGATGACGATGAGGAGGGTGGAAGCAAACCCAAAAAGAAGAAAGAGGTAAATAGTCAAATTTTGATGTAAAAGCGTGAGTATATTTCATATCTTTATGTATTTTGTGATGTGAATCCAAACCATGCAAAGACTGTTGGATAACTATTTAGCTTACACAGATCACTTTACAACAATGTGAGATCCACAGAGAAGGCTTAATGTTTTTAAAGCCTCAGTGAATCACAGCTATTTACCAAGAAGCAGCTACTCTTGTTCATTGTTTTCTTTTCTTTCCTGATTTCAATTTTACTTATTCAAAGATGTCTTTTTTTGGGTCTTTCAGGAAGACATTTTAGTTGCACGCGGTTTTGAGAGAGGACTTGAGCCGGAGAAGATCATTGGAGCGACTGACTCGTGTGGCGACCTCATGTTCCTCATGAAGTGGTAGGTTTAAGTGACACATTTTTCCAAATGTACATGTGAAACTTTATTTTTTTCTTAGGGTTGACTACCGCTTTAGTAATAACACCAGTAGAGTCCACAGCTATAGATATGTGTATAAATGAAGACCGAAATCTGCAGTGTCCTAGTTTTCATGACCTGATGCCAAAAAAACAAACTCTTAATTTATTTTTCATGGTTTATTAAACATTTTTATATTGTCTCTGAGGAGATCTATATAACATATAACAAAATATAGCATTTGTTTGTGTGTGTTTGCAGTAAGCACCTTTTGTCTTTCTGTACAAGACACCTACTTGTTTACCTTGTAGTTAAAAGTTTCCATACATCTTTCAAGTTCATGTCCACGTGAAAAGTTAATTTAAAGAATTAGACACTGAATAATAAACAATTGACAGATTGACATGTGTTTTGGGCTCAGTCAGTTGGCTACCAGACAGTTGACATCCTGTAAAAATACGCGCATACATCTCTGACCTGCACTCAAAGGAAAAGATTCTGATGGGAAGCCACAGACCCAACTGAGCCGGTGAACCAGCCCTGCATAAATCTTATTTAGATTTTATTTTGCATGTGTTTGTCTCTTTTATCATTAAGTACTTGCACAGTGTCTCTTCTGTAGTAGAAGTTTTTTAAGCAACTGGTAATCAATCAAACATATTTGATATTTAGCTCTGCAGGTTGGAGCACCAGCGCTGCCTAGAGTCTAAAATGCCCTGACCTTACAATCGGGTTCTCATAGCTCAATATTGGCTTACCACTGCTCTCATATCATCACCCCGAGTTTTGTACTGTTACAAGTACAGCCTGCCACCAGGAATAAGAGTGGTAGTCATGGTTGTAATGATGACAGCAACAATCAATAATACTAGTAAAACACCCTGATTTTGAATCATAATGAATTGCTGTTATGATCATTCATAGAGAAACACTGACAAATGATATATCTTCAGGAACAGGACAGTTATCAGGCCAGTACATCTGTGTTTTAAAAACTGTAGACAAACTCTGAACTCTGGCCTCTCTTCCTTGTAAGACTGACAAAGTTGGTCCAGGAAGTTGAGTCATTTTGAGAGTAATGCCACCAAACATATTCTTGAATTACTGCAGTGCACTCGCTGCAAATGAGGCAAGTTGTTTTTGAGTTTGAATCTGGCAGTTAAATAAATGACAACATTTAAACACCTGGGTGGACGTATACAACTCATTACAAGAGCTCTACTACAAGTCCTACTATAAGCTTCTTCATCTTCAGTTTTTGTTGACATGGTCAGACAGATCATGAGGGTGCGTTATATTGAAAGGTATTCCTAATATTTTGCTACCCTCATTTTTTTGCCAGTGAAGTCGACAAAATATTAGAGTCCCCTTTTTAAAATAACACCACTATCCACCATGGCTTTAAAATCTCACCTGTCTGATCATGTCGAATGAAACTGAAAGTTTTGAATTTCCTGAAAGAAGAATTTCTAGCAGAGCTGCTAGATTTGATTACATTAGCATGCTCAGGTGTACATAATGTTATGATCTATTTTATCAGAGCACTCTACACTTCATTAGAGGTTAAACTGCGGGTTCTAAGGTCTATTTTATGCTTTAGTTTAGATAATATTTAAAACTTAAATGTTTTTTTTTGTGTGCCTTTTTGTTTTGGGTTTCTTTTTTTTATTATTATTATTGATATATACATATATATTGGATTCATGTTTGCAAGCTAGGTTGGATTCACTTGAAGGTTACCTTTGGGCCAGATTTTGTCTAAGTCCCCCCACTTTTATTTATTAGAAGGAGCACCTTCATGGTTTCACTTTAACTCAGTTTATTTCATTGACAATAACAGCACAGACGACTTTGACACAGTCCTTGTTAGGGTCTTCACTTAACCCAAAATTTAACCCATTATGTCTAAAGATGGTCCAAGTTGTTTTCTAGTCTGAACTCCTTTTGTTTCCTACCATAATTACTGTCTGCACCACTACTGTTTGCAACTTGTTATGAAATGATTCTTGAAACGGCACTAAATATGCCAGATTGCTACTGACAAACTACCCATTAGCTGAACTAATAGCCTAGCTGTCCATCCATATACAAACAGAAAGTCACTCCATAAAATTTTATGTCATCACACATTAGCTGGATGGATAAATGTGCGGTACCTCGTCATTAATGCCAGGTCATGCTTCACTCCTGGGTGTTTACTAGCTAAGTGAGACAAAAGCTCTGATTTGTAAATTTACAAAGAATGACTGACATTATTTAGAGATTGATCAGGTCCATCTGGTTTCTTTACGTATAAGAAGCATGAAAATAATGTTTGAAATGTCTGGTGTGTAGATGTTTTACTTGAGTTCTAGTTAAAACACAAACTTGTTTACTCCAGAATTAACAGCTAAAGTTTTGTCTTTCTGTTTTGCAGGAAAGACTCAGATGAGGCAGACCTGGTGCTCGCCAAGGAGGCTAATCATAAGTGCCCACAGATTGTTATCGCGTTCTATGAGGAGCGTCTCACCTGGCACGAAGACAGTGACAAGAAGGAGAAAGATGCTGTCAGTGCGTGAGTGCATCACGCCAGGAGGAAAACACGAACTCCTCCACTGCAGGGACAACCTTGAGTCTGACATTTTTCACACCCAAACCTCCCATCCTTCCTCTTTACCATGTCCAGCAATGACACACAAACGGTGGGCACAGTCGTGTTTATCTTCATCCATAACCCACTGGAGCACAGGAGCCCAGACTACTGACAAGGAACCATCAAACAGAGAAAGAGGCTGTAGCGGACATGGGGGATATGCTACTTGGAATGGGTTCTGCTGTTCTGTCTTTGTATTCTTCTCCCTCTTTTTAATGTCTTAACACATCTTGTTTTAGTGCTCACAGGATACTATAATGTCAGTGAGGTATTCTTCAGTAATGGCCATCTGTTAAATCTCATATTCCAGAGCCAGAGTGTCTGCGAAAGCTTGGTTATCTTTGAGCTTGTCCCACAAAGGTGCACAACCCCTGGAGTCTTTAAAGGCAGTGCACCTCCTCTCTTTGAGAGCCCGCTAACACCGCTGAGGATAAGCGTAGTATCAGTGTTCAGGAAGCTACCACCGCAGCATTTTCCTGACAGCATAACCATTTCCTTTTTGAAAGACAACTTTGTATCTCGTAGATTTTTTGAATCCTTTCCAGTTCAAGAGTCAAAGGTCACAGTTACACTGTTAAAATCTGCAAACGATGCCAGCCGATGAAATATTTTTAACAAACTGATTGCCACCTTTTTTTTTTGTTCGGTTGTTTTTTGTATCTTTTTTTTTTTCCATGTTTTAATGTTAACTTTGTGATGTTTTTTAAATTCCAACATGCTTTCACCAACTCAAGTAAAAGTTAATAAAAGAAAGTGTACTCTATTTGGTATCTTTTTTTTCCCCCCTTTGTTTACTGCAGTGTTAGATTCGTACCAGTCTCATGTGAACATGTTAGACAATCTTGTATTCGAACCAGCATTTGTCAACAGTCATTTGGGTCTGCCATTATGTGGCTCAAAGATGAATGACTTTGGATCATGTGACCAAGCTCATTTAGGACAGCCCTGCAGTTTTATTCTTCTGGTGTTCTCCATAAGTTAGTGATACTTTGATATTTTTTTACAGTGTAAAGTGGTAAAGTAGTCTTGGCTATTAGATTTTGTTTTGTTTTTTTTATTGTAGTGTTAAAATGAAACATTAAAGCGGTTCCAAATCAAATACTCGCACCCTGGCCCTTGCTTTTTTTTTTTTTGCTGTGAGTAATTTGATTTTTCATATAAGTCTGAATCTTTTTTTTTTTCTGCTTCATCAAAGACTCCTTGGATCAGGTTTTTGGCTGAGATCTATTTCCAGACTTTGATTTGGCTTCGTGAAAGAGGGCCCTGTCCTCCCCTTTCTCACTTAACTCATGTTTTTGTGTTTTCTTTTTCCATAAAGGGTTTTTTTTTTCTTTTTTTTCAAGCTGTTGAGGTTTTACCAGTTCAAAACTTTTCAAAGTAGAGCATTTCTTGTGTATATGAAATGTTACAAATATGTGTACAGTAGCACTCTTTAATAAACATTTTCAATGTTCTCGTTATATCGGTTTGTTTTCATTTCAGCATGTGAATGGAGTTTCTACAGCAAGACAAGTTACCTATATACAAGGATAAAGTCTGAAAATCTGTTACATCTAAAGGTATGCGTTTATGTTTTTTTGTTTTTAATTTAAACGTCTCTCTGAAGCAGTGTCTGCTCTCGGCCAGCAGATGGTGCTGCTGTTCAACACACATATAATATTAACTGTCCTAATGGAAGTTTTTTTTCGTCTTTTTTCGGCTTCTATAAATTTCGACTAATTTTGTTTTCACTGATTAATGTCACATCTTTTTCAGATGGCCTCTGAGTAACTTCAGGTAATAATAGCTGCCAAACCCACCTGTAGGTCCACACACTGGATGTGCACGTATGTATACATGGTTCCCATTGACACTGACTTTGCAGGACTCTTAAAAGGCGCCACACACTTTTTTTTTTTCAGGCTTAAAGTAAACAAATGAACGATATATTTCTCATGACTTCAAATAGTTTTGACATCTTATTTAATTAGCCGAACAGATATTTGAATCCATTAAATTGTTGAAAGCGAGGATAGGAGTAAAGAGGTGCAAACCCAGGGCATCATGTCTATGCACGGTTGGCCTCTTAAACCTCTGGGCTACCCTAAATCCATAAAGTATAATGATATAGCCGTAAAAACCTGTCCCTGCATGGACCACAAAACTGAAAAAACAGACCAGATTCAAAGACGATTAAATGCTTTATCAAAGGAGAAAGTGTTTTGCTGCATTTGAACTGCAGCCATTAGAGGAATTCACTATCTACTAAACAGCCATACTATAATTTCTGTCTGGCCACCATGATTAGTGATTTCTTAAAATATCCAGACATCAAGCATGCACAGTGTCTGTGTTACAGGGAACCCCAACGATGTCAGCAATGAACTGTGGTAAAGGTTTAGTCTAATCCTTGTTCTTCTCTCACCACCCTCTTATTCTCTTTTGCTGCCTTTTATAGTGACTCCCTCTCTCTGATACACACACAGGCGCACGCACACACAATGTGCTGCTCAGCTACGTCCAAAGTGATGGAATTTTCCTAGCAAAAAGGCTTTTACACTCCAAATGGAATGCAAAGGTCACTAGTAAATTTCCAGCCCCTGGGACCATTAAGTCGGGCAAAGGGAGCGAGCAGCAGGCTGTTTTATGGAGCCTGGAGCTGTCTGCTGACAAACCCAAGCCAGGAGGTTTGGTTGGGAAAGCCTCAGTGGCACTCGTGGGAGCTCTGCCTGTGATGTGTGGGCAAATACAGATGTAGAAGCACTTTGTGCCATGTAGAGAAAAGCTTTATTCAAGTCAAAAGTCTAGATTAGGAACATTATTTGAGGAAACATGTTCTTACTGGTTTAGTTTAGGATGTGTTCTTAGATTTTTGACTTTGAAAAGAAAAGTTATTTGATATTTCTGTTGTAAAAACATCTATAAATTCACCACCTTCTTCGATTTAACTGTAATTTAGGGAGGAAACCATAAAACTGCTTCTTTGTTCGACATTGTGTGCCTCAACAGTGTGGTCACAGTTTAGGTGTAAATTTATTTATTTATTCTCAGCAGCCAGCCTGCTCTTCAAACACAGTCCCTCCTGTACCAGTTAACTCCTAGTGCAAATGAGTTCCACAGGGTACGGCTCACGGCAGAGGTGGGTCGTCTTGCAGCACATTACACCAAATGAGTGTCAGGGGAGCTGTGGCGGGGAAGGGGACGGCTGCGGTGGGCCTCATCAGTGTTGCACAGCTTGTTCAAGGATACCACTAAACCAGCAAACAAATAAACATGCACTTGTATGGATAACTGGAACGGTCGGTGCAATGCTCTGGTAACTTGTTTTTGAAGGTAAAGGAGATTTGTAGTCATTAATTGGTGTCTCAGAGAAACTAAAAAGAGTGTATTGGAGGGGCTGGTGTAATCTGATGTGCCCTTGCTCATTCTATGGTCATGTAGGCACAGCTGCCCGACAGCTGTGTCTCCATTTCCTTGCAACAACCAGATGAAAAGGTCTGCTGTGTCGACTGGTGCATCATCCCTCGGCACAGCGCACTGATCTGTGTGAAGGTGATTGCGATACAATGCTCTAATTTGGGTGGCTATCACACTTAATGTGCAGTAAAGCACCACAGACAAAGCTTCTTGGTTTTAAATTCTCCCTCTACTGCACCGCGGCTCTCCCGCCAACCCTCTGCTGGCTGTGTTTCCCCTTCACTCACCCCCCACACTCCTCCCTTCATCTCCTCTCCCCACCAGGGGAAAGAGTTATAGCTGCCATAAAAGGCAGGTAATGCATTGTTAACTAATTCTGTCTGCTCAGAGCTGATATATCCTCCGCTCTAAATCTCGGTGCTTCCAATAAAATGCAAATGCTAATGCTTGCCCTCCATGAGCTGATATCATTTTTAACAGGCCAGAGGTAAATGCTAGAGAAGGGTGGGGTGGGCCAGAGGTAGTCTGAGCCTTCATGGTGTATACCGGCCATAAGGAGACCTCCAGACCTGATCCACACACTGCAGGGATGCATGTGATGCACATATGGCTGCAAGCAAGCACATAAGACTGTCAGGCCACTTTTGATCATCCAGGTGTCGGTGGCGGTGTTCAAGTTTGTGTGGCATCTTTGTTATTGAGATGCCAACACTTTCAGTCAGTACCACTCATTCACCATCAAATAACAGAAACCAAATTGCCTGTGGGTGTAATGCATCATATTTCCATGTTAATAGTATTGTCATACTTCATGTAACCTTGGGCTTCTAAATATTGATCCACTTCTAGATTTTCAATTATCCTGTGCCGTTTTTCTGCCATCTGGTAAGGACCAGTGATTTGTGTTCTTTCATATCTGGAGGCTTGTCCTGTAATTAGACCATAAATTAATTTGCAGAAAGGAGCGAGACTAGCAGAGACTGAAGGCATTAAGTAAGTCCTCTGTGGCTGGAGACAGAAAATCATAGGAAACCACAGCTCAGTGTTTTATTCACTAGAGCATCATAACTAGATTATAAATTCCAACACTATAACTTTTCTCTTCTTGCATCTGTCACTTGTTTGGCTCTCAAGTCTTTAAAACCACGCTGTTGCTAATGATTGTAAGTCAGTTTTTCAATAAATGGCAAGAAATCACCCACTGACATAATTAAACCTAATTACTGGCAGTGCAGCCGCAAAATGATTAGGAAAAATGGGGCATATTAGTGTCAAAATGTACGTTCAACTTTGCAGCGCAATGTGCTGTGAATCCATCAGTGGATTTAAAATGACCCCCCACGCAGGCAGGCAACAATTGTGTGCTTTGAACCAGGCTCTTATTTACAGCACGACTCAAGTGGAGGTCTTAAAAAGAAAATGCATCTTGATTGATTTTAAATTGGGAGTATATGCTCTCCTGCAAGATTAGCTCATTGTCCCCCCGCTGCTAAATTACACACAGTGATTGGGGCTGTCGCTGCACAATGTCAGAGCGCTTCAACTGCAGCTCACTATGCCATGTGGAAATTCACATTAGACAAGCACAAGTTACTCCGTTAAAGCCATTAGGAGGAAAAACCTGGAACTGAATGGGCTCCTCTTGTGGTGCAAAATGCGATATCAGCAGGGTGTGAGTTTAAAACACTGCAAATATACAACAAGCTGTTCTGAAGT